GTTTGTGACTTAAAGTTTCTGCATGTATAATCAACATTTTTCTTTTGGATAATAGCTCAAGAGACGTAGGAGCACGTGACTGTTACCATGGAAATACCATGGAAATATAGGTTCGTAAACATATAAAACTATTATTGATCACACTCGAATAAAGCGTTATTAAGTTAGCAGGCCATATTGCGGATTCTTCCTGGCCGTAAAAGGAAAACCATTATTAAATTAACAAATAATTATTTGTATCCGTAGAGAGGGAAAGATGTTGGTGAAGCTTCTAAGTATGTATGTTACTTTTATTTATTTGTTTTGCTCATGTCAGAGTATGTGGTTTATGCGTGTATTCGATTTGCCAGCAGATCGCATTGTCTTGGTTTTGACTGTTGTACGGAGTGCTGACTCTCGTCCAGCATCAATAGCAAACTAGTTTCAAATCGACGAGTAAAACTACACCAAAAAAAATTGTTTAAAATATTAAAGTAAAACTAAAAACAAAACAAAACAAAAAATAATTTTTTAAACCGCCGAGTAAAACTACAAAAAAAAAAAAAAAAAAAAAAAAAAAGCACATCCTGCCATTTTTCTCTGTCTTCTGCTTGATGAATAAATGTATGATAACTTAGTCCTGTCCAGTTCTTGATGTTGTCATTACAGTTTCTTCTTTGTCCTCCACTTCTTCGTCTACCCCCCAATGTTCGTTGTGTGGTATTGCTTGATTTGTGTGTGTGCTGATGAAGGCTCCACAGCCGCAACGGTTACGTTTTGTTTGTGTTTGTTAGATTGCGAAGCTTGCTGATATATTTTTCGATCGTTTTTTATATCTGTTCTCAATGTTCCTTGAAGCACAGTCTTTGCAATCGAATCAGTCTCACCACGTGCCAAAACCAAGCTAGCTTGCGACATTTCATCACTGCCAAGAAACGCTCCATATATATATGTGTGTGTGTATATATATATATGTGTTGTGGTATATATATATATATGTGTGTGTATATATATATATATATATATATATATGTGTGTGTGTGTATATAATATATATATATGTGTGTGTGTGGATTATATATATATATATATATATTATATATATATATATAATAGCTATAATATATAATATATATAGATATATGTGTATATATATATGTGTGTATTATATATATATATTATATAGTGGTGTATAGATATATTATATATATATATATATATATATATATATATATATATGGGTAATATAATATAATATATATATAAATATATATATATATATATATATATATATATACTTATATTATAGCATATATATATATATATATAAATATATTATATATATATATATAATATTAAATATAATATATATGTGTGTATATAATATAATAATATATGTATAATATATAGTTTGTGGTGTATACTAATATATACTATATTACTATATATATATAATAATATATATATATATACTATAATATATGTGTGTATATATATATAATATATATATATATTATAATATATATATATATCATACTATATAATAATATATATATATATATATATATATATATATATATATATGTGTGTGTGTTGTATAATATATGTATATATTTTTATGTGTGTTTGTGTAATATATATAATGGGGCTATACACACAAGACACACATATAATAGCACGGAGTCCTTTTATGGAAACACTTATAGAAAACGTTTCTGAAAAAAAAAGCAAATAAGAAACATAATGACACCCTGAAAGATCCTGAACATCAAGGAAGATTGGCTAGTAAACAGCAATCTTGACATGGCATATTAGTAAGCGCCATGGAGAATGTTGTAAAAAAAATACTGACAATAGCTAAAGGCATGGGACCATCAAAGAGAGGCAGGGGTTAACCAGCACGAAGATGGGCATAGGATAAAAGTAACATCTTGGGTAGGAGAGTGCACCAGGCGGAAGACAATGATGAAAGCGAGGTTCTGAAAAGGATCACAACCGGCTCTAGCTGACGTCACCTAGTCGGGCTAACAATGCGTGAGCGCCGCGGTTCTTAAACTGGGGGCCGAGGCACCCCAAGGTGCCGTGAGCGTATGCCAGGGGTGACTCGGCAACAATCAAGAAAAGTCGGCTAAAAATTGTGAAAATATGAAAGAAGACATGAAGATACTTAAAAGCTAAAATTTAAGTTGTCTTCCCTCGCCACTGCCAAAAAAAGTTCATTTATTGTTTGAGAACCGCTGCGTTAATGCATCGTTAGCCACACCTGCTGACGTCAGCAGCATGGCCCGTCAGCTGGAATCGGTCGTCAGAATGACGATGGTGTTCAGATGGTATTTTAACCTTCTTCTTTCAAACCACGTCTTTGCAGCTTTCACGTCCTTTAATTAACGAGTGAATGATTGAATCAATGAATGAATTAATGAATGAAATAATGAACGAACAAATGAATGAACGGACGAACGAATGAATAAACGAATGAATGAACCAATCAAGAACTGACATCACTGCACTCAGGCCCATTCCCACACGTGCTCCGTCCCCTTCTTCAGTAACCAACGAAGTCGACATGCTTATTGTACCAGTTTAGACAGGGTTCAAAGTCCTTTTCAATGTTGAATATCTTCCTGAACCTCTTCACACCCCCGAATAATTAGTCTTTCATTGTATAGATTCTCTATCAGTTCAGGCCGTTGGCATCTTTTCATGGGTGATTTGGTCAACATAACACCGGCCGCCTTTATTTCTAAGGACATTACCTGGTACAAATTTAAGGCTGGGTCGATCTTAATGCCTTGGACAATTACGGGGAATAAACCCGCCTTCATGCGAATTTGAACTATTTACCTTTAGCCCGACAGGTGAGCATCTAACTACCACGCCACGACGGCTCCTGCTTTAAAAAAAAAAAAAAACTATTCTGCATTTCAGCCACCGTGTTGTAGCGGCTAGACGCTCGCCTGTGGATCAGAAGGTCGTAGGTTCGGGTCCTGTCCTGTTTTTTTTCTCAAAAAAATATCTTTAGCTCGGAGTTCGACCAAGCTCTAAATTGGTACCAGATACATTCCTGGGAAATAAAGGCGGCCAGTTTGATACTGACGACATCATCTACTGAGTGCCGATCGGCCCCCCCCCCCCCCCCCCCCCTAGAAGCTATAGTAGTTCTACGCCACTATATATGCCCAATTCGACTTCAGACGGAGAAAAGGGTCTTTTTCTTTTAAGTAAACGATTCTTTTCCCGCCTTAAGAATCTAGTGCCGGGTGTATGTTTGTAAATATCAATCCGCTAAATGGGTGATGTGGTCAGCAAAGAGCGGGCCACTTTTGTTTCCATGGAGATTACCCAGTACCCATTTATACCTGGCTCGACCTCGATGCGTAGGACACTAAGGAAAAACCCCGCCTCGATACGAATACGAAACCGTGACTTTCCAGCCTGCAGGCCAGCGTCTAACGACAAGGCCTTCAGCTTTTTACTATTGATTTACTGATTTAAGAATCGGCACCATAGCACACTGGGCACACCCATAGATGCTCCGTCTCCCGCAGCAAATGACGTAAGATGTAGATACTAGGTTCCCGCAAAACACTGATTATACACACGTTGTTCTCGTCCTCTCATACCTTCCTCCTTGTTGGATCCACACTTATTCCTCGTTCACACATTCTTGCCCATGTTGTTTTATCTAATCTCATGTCTTCTGCCAAAAGTCGTTCATATATGGTTTTCAGAATATCTCCCTTGTCCAATACGAGTGTTCCTGTAGCTTTCGCTACTGAAGCTACTCTATGTTCATATTCTTGAGTACATCTCCCATCTGCTATATTGCCATCAACTTCTTAGTGGGTTAAAACTACAAGTTTATAAGGGAGAAAGAACCGCGTGAACCATCGTATCCTTGGAGCCCTTCCAGCGCTGCCATCTTCGGCCTTATTTTACCATCTGCAGACATGTCTGCCTGATCGTTGAACCGGAAGTAAAATCCTATCGAATGAAAGGTGTAATCGTGCGGTAGACCGGAAACAGGAAATTATTGTGACGGAAATACGTCACGGAAGCTGCAAAATGAAACAGATTTCACCAGTGGTGTGGTTCATGGGCGCCGGAACCTGAGGGCTCAGGTACCTTTAGACCCCCAAACATTTTAAGGTTGGTGGGGGGGGGGGGGTACTACTCTCTCTCCCTCAGTAATTTTGTAGAGGTATTAGGAGATCGCCTTGACCACACAATTACATTTTCTTTATAAGCTTTTGGTTAAATATTTTGTGTTATTACAAGTATTTTTATGTATATTAATTTGCAATTCAGCACATTAATAATAATAATAATAATAATAATAACAACAACAACAATAAACTAATAATAATAACAATGCACTGAAAGGTAAAAAAAAAATAAAACAATATATTCAAAGTAATAATAAATGTATAGACTCATACTTGGAAAGTTAATTTGAATACATGGTTAAAGAATGCATGTAAGCAATCTTACACATTTATTGGTGACGAAAGGATTCAGCAGCTTAAATTTATATTGTGTAGGAGCCCTTGAGGACCTAAGTGCCCCCCACCCCGCCCTACTAGATGGCTAGGACTCACGAGTAAAGCTGCAGGAGATGCGGAAGCTGCTGCTCGTGAGTCCTAGCCATCTAGCTTAGCCCCAATCCACGCGTGGGGGACTCGTGGCGGTGGCGGTAGTCGCCGGAAAACCGCAAATTAGGTCGCCGGAAGTGCGCAACTGACACATGACTGAGGCTCGTAAGGATATGTTGCGGCCGCCATCTTTTGTGCCCGTTATTCAGAGGATAGCCAAAATGGCTCAGTCACTGCTTGCCACTAAGTAGCCCCGAAAAGGACTCTTGAAGTGTTGATGCCACCATGGAGACACACACAGATACTGTCCCGACCACCGATGAAGTAATCTACCGGCCAGCCAATGGGCGACCCGGTCACCGACGTAACTTTATTGGATCCAGCTCAAATTTTAATGTCCTCCATTTTCAGACCTACGTCAACTGTGCAATGGGCATGCACAAAATTGGACCAATCCTGATCTGTTTTGGAACCGTGAGTGCTGTAAGCTCCATCACCATTGGCTGTTTCTCCAGACACATCAAGCGGTTCGCCTTCATGGCTGCTGGCGCCATTTTCAACATCGGTTTGTTGATCGTGTTGTGGTTGTGGAACCCACAAAAAGAGGACGTGCCCAACTTTTACGTGGTTGCCGCCTGTCTGGGTTTGTGTGACGCCATTTGGCAAACTCAGACGTACAGTAAGTTGATTTTTTTCTTTTTCTCTGATTGGTATGTTTGTTTTCATAATTGAATTAAAGGTGACTTAACACATGGGGACCATCTCTCTCTCTCTCTCTCTCTCTCTCTCTCTCTCTCTCTCTCTTTCTCTCTCTCTCCCTCTCTCTCCCTCCCTCTCTCTCTCTCCCTCTCATTACACACACACAAAAGCTACGGTTGAGTCCCTTCGCTCCTCCCACACAGAGCACAATAGCCTAGGGCGCGTGCTTCACCCCCCCCCTAACCCCCATCCCCACACAACACACACACACACACAACACACCACACACCACACACACACACACACACACACACACACACACACACACACACACACACACACACACACACACACACACACACACACACACACACACGCGCGCGCGCGCACACACACACAATTAAAAAAATTACCGGGGTTTAGTGCTAACAGTCGTCATTGAAAATATTTCTTTGCATAAGGAACGTTCATGTGAAACCCGTTTGTACCTTACCGCGCGTCGTGGCATGTGTGGTACAGGACCGTGTTATAGTCATGAGGTAAGTAGTGACCAGTGAATAAAAGAGCTGGTGCTTTTCGTCCCATGATGCACATGTTTGGGGTTTTTTTTTCCCTGACCTTTGAGAAAATGGCCGAGTTTATCCAAAATTCACTCAAAGAAGCTGATAAAAAAAATAAAAAAAAAACAGTGATTTAGTTGTCTTCACTGAAAATATGTTGACCAGTGGCAGGCAAGGAACTGAGATGTCACCACTTGCTGGATAATCACAAGCTAAACATTCAATGTTACAGTTTTCCGCTGAGCGCATTTTATTTTAAACAACGAAGGGCAATTGTTGGCAGACTTTCAAAAATCTGGTGTCAGCACCAACTCTACCCGCTGCTTAGAAACACTAGACACGCGGCAGAAAGCCACCAAGAATGAACGTCCCCGCAAGTTTTCTTGCGGTGTTATTTTGCTGCACGATAATGTGAGATTGAGCAGCAATCCTTAGCACACAGGAAGATAGGATTTCTGCAACATCCAGCCTATCATCCGGATTTGTCCCCAAGTGATTTTCTTTCCTTTAAAAACAAACTATAATTAGACGACATCACACAGATGCAGCTATAATGAACGTAGTAAACACTCGGTTCAGTGCGCAACAATTCTCCTTTTGTTTTGCGGACGGCGTTCGGGGCCTGCCCTTGCAGTGCCCGTATGCCTACACCGAATTATTCTGACCAACCCCTGGTGCATAACTTATTCTAAATCAACGTTTTTCTTCCCTCTCTGTTCTCATTTCTTTCGTGCTTTGTAATAAAACTATTGGAAGGGGTTTCAAATGAGCGCCGCATATACATTTCACTTTATTTTAAATATATATATATATATATATATATATATTTTTTTTATTATTTTTTATTTTTGCAAAAAATAATGATTTTGATATTATTATTATTGCTCGCTTAAGCAAATACAAAAAATTATGCGATGACTGGGGATCTCCTACCCCATTTTTATTTTTATTTTCCAATGATTCATTTTAGCAGCCCTACACCTGTCTCCCCCTCCCCAACACTTCATTCTCCGTATGATAACAGTACATTATGCTTTAAATTTAAAGCGACTCAACACAATTTTTACTCCGGAATGATTAACATGTTATCTAAATTCATGATGAATCAATACACTGTTGCTCGATGCTAAGTGTCTCAATACATGGCGACTCATTACATGGCGACTCATTACATGGCGACTCATTACATGGCGACTCATTACATGGCGACTCATTACATGGCGACCAATACGTGAGTGACTCAATACATGGCGACTCAATACATGGCGACTCAATACGTGACTCAATACATGACTACTCAATACATGGCGACTCAATACATGGCGACTCAATACGTGAGTGACTGAATACATGGCGACTCAATACGTGAGTGACTCAATACATGGCGACTCAATACGTGAGTGACTCAATACATGGCGACTCAATACATGGCGACTCAATACGTGGCGACTCAATACGTGAGTGACTCAATACATGGCGACTCAATACGTGAGTGACTCAATACGTGGCGACTCAATACGTGAGTGACTCAATACATGGCGACTCAATACGTGAGTGACTCAATACATAGCGACTCAATACATGGCGCGTCAATACGTGAGTGACTGAATACATGGCGACTCAATACGTGGCGACTCAATACATGGCGACTCAATACGTGAGTGACTCAATACATGGCGACTCAATACGTGAGTGACTCAATACATGGCGACTCAATACGTGAGTGACTCAATACATGGCGACTCAATACATGGCGACTCAATACGTGAGTGACTGAATACATGGCGACTCAATACGTGAGTGACTCAATACATGGCGACTCAATACGTGAGCGACTCAATACATGGCGACTCAATACGTGAGCGACTCAATACATGGCGACTCAATACGTGAGCGACTCAATACATGGCGACTCAATACGTGAGCGACTCAATACATGGCGACTCAATACGTGAGCGACTCAATACATGACGACTCAATACGTGAGCGACTCAATACATGGCGACTCAATACGTGAGTTACTCAATACATGACGACTCAATACGTGAGCGACTCAATACATGACGACTCAATACGTGAGCGACTCAATACATGGCGACTCAATACATGGCGACTCAATACGTGAGTGACTCAATACGTGAGTGACTCAATACATGGCGACTCAATACATGGCGACTCAATACATGGCGACTCAATACGTGAGTGACTCAATACATGGCGACTCAATACGTGAGCGACTCAATACGTGAGTGACTCAATACGTGAGTGACTCAATACATGGCGACTCAATACATGGCGACTCAATACGTGAGTGACTCAATACATGGTGACTCAATACGTGAGTGACTCAATACATGGCGACTCAATACATGGCGACTCAATACGTGAGCGACTCAATACATGGCGACTCAATACGTGAGTGACTCAATACATGGCGACTCAATACATGACGACTCAATACGTGAGCGACTCAATACATGGCGACTTAATACGTGAGTGACTCAATACATGGCGACTCATTACATGGCGACTCAATACGTGAGTGACTCAATACATGGCGACTCAATACATGGCGACTTAATACGTGAGTGACTCAATACGTGAGTGACTCAATACATGGCGACTCATTACATGGCGACTCAATACATGGCGACTCAATACGTGAGCGACTCAATACATGGCGACTCAATACGTTAGTGACTCAATACATGGCGACTCAATACATGGCGACTTAATACGTGAGTGACTCAATACGTGAGTGACTCAATACATGGCGACTCAATACATGGCGACTTAATACGTGAGTGACTCAATACATGGCGACTCAATACATGGCGACTCAATACATGGCGACTCAATACATGGCGACTCAATACATGGCGACTCAATACATGGCGACTCAATACGTGAGTGACTCAATACATGGCGACTTAATACGTGAGTGACTCAATACATGGCGACCAATACGTGAGTGACTCAATACATGGCGACTCAATACATGGCGACTCAATACATGGCGACTCAATACATGGCGACTCAATACATGGCGACTCAATACATGGCGACTCAATACATGGCGACTCAATACATGGCGACTCAATACATGGCGACTCAATACGTGAGTGACTCAATACATGGCGACTCAATACGTGAGTGACTCAATACATGGCGACTCAATACATGGCGACTCAATACATGGCGACTCAATACATGGCGACTCAATACATGGCGACTCAATACATGGCGACTCAATACATGGCGACTCAATACATGGCGACTCAATACGTGAGTGACTTAATACATGGCGACTCAATACGTGAGTGACTCAATACATGGCGACTCAATACATGGCGACTTAATACGTGAGTGACTCAATACATGGCGACTCAATACGTGAGTGACTTAATACATGGCGACTCAATACGTGAGTGACTCAATACATGGCGACTCAATACATGGCGACTTAATACGTGAGTGACTCAATACGTGAGTGACTCAATACATGGCGACTCAATACATGGCGACTCAATACATGGCGACTCAATACATGGCGACTCAATACATGGCGACTCAATACATGGCGACTCAATACATGGTGACTCAATACGTGAGTGACTCATTAGAAGGCGACGTCATAAATGGTGAATCAACAGGCGGTGACCCAATATGCGGCGACTAAATAATTCGTAATTCACTTCGTATTCGGAAATTCTTTTCACATGCAGACATGATAAGATAATGCCATTACTACTTTATTATACCGCTTTTGCGGTGTAGGCAGAGCCTGCAGATTGACGGCCGCATGGCTAGTGCTGTCGCCACTCTGTGCAGGTGGGGATTTTATTTTGCCCCCTACAAGGATTCGAACGCGGGTAACTTGCTTGAGAGCCTAACATTCTAACCATTCTGTCAGCTGATCGACAAAATGATGAGGACGTAATGATACAAGGAAAACAGATATACCGGGATGACGTGTTAAGATGTAAGGGACACGACTGCGTGAATTATTTTATCGACACACTGCTGTTAGTTCCGTCCCCTGCCTTCTTCCCCCTTTTTCCCAGAATCGCAGGCTGTAGTATTAACATGTAAAGCCGTGGTTCCAAACCTACCTGGTGATCGTGGTGGTGGGGTGAGGGGGTGCAACGAGGTTTCAAGGGGGCGTCAAGCATATTTGAAAGTGAGTACATTTGTACTTCTTGGAGTACGAGGTTTCAAGGGGGCGTCAAGCATATTTGAAAGTGAGTAAATATTTACTTGTGGGAGTACGAGGTTTCAGAGAGGGGGGGGGGGGGGGGGGGTGCAAGTGTATTTGAAAGAAAGTACATTTTTACTTGTGGAAGTACGAGGTTTCAAGAAGCGCCAAGTGTATTTGAAAGTAAGTAAATTTTTACTTGTGGGAGTAGGAGGTTTCAAGGGGGCGCCAGGTGTATTTGGAAGTAAGTACTTTTGTACTTGTGGGAGTACGAGGTTTCAAGGGGGCGCCAATTGTCTTTGAAAGTAAGTACATTTGTACTTGTAGGAGTACGAGGTTTCAAGGGGGCGCCAAGTGTATTTGAAAGTAAATACATTTGTACTTGTGGGAATACGAGGTTTCAAGGGGGCGTCAGGCATATTTGAAAGTAAGTACATTTGTACTTGTGGGAGTACGAGGTTTCGAGGGGGCGCCAAGTGTATTTGAAAGTAAGTACATTTGTACTTGTGGGAGTACGAGGTTTCAAGGGGGCGCCAAGTGTATTTGAAAGTAAATACATTTGTACTTGTGGGAATACGAGGTTTCAAGGGGGCGTCAGGCATATTTGAAAGTAAGTACACTTGTACTTGTGGGAGTACGAGTTTTCGAGGAGGCGCCAAGTGTATTTGAAAGTGAGTACATTTCTAATTGTGGGAGTTGACGTGGCGTTGGTGGCTAGACGCCCGCTTGCGGATCGGAAGTCAGGGTTCGCGTCCTGACAGAGCCGGACCTTTTTCATGAATGACCTTGACTCCCAGGTCGACCCAACCTTGAGTGGATACCAGGTGCAGTTCTGGGAAGTAAAGGCGACTGGCGTGATGCTGACCAACATCACCCATAAAATGCCGATTGGTCTGTACAAATGTAGGTTTATCCCTATATTCCCACTACGCCTAAGGGCGTGGAAAAGGGACATTTTTGCTTTACATTTATCTTGAAATAATCTGTTATACTTAATTTTTATTTCAGTTTAATTATAAAGTCAATATTTCAGAACTATTTACCAAACAAAGCAGCAGTGGAATATTTGTTGTAATGAGCAGTGTGTACATCTACTGATAAAAATCGAAGTAATATGACAACAAAAAGGCTGTTGCGTATCCTCTACAGGACGTTGCAGAACCAACCCTAACAGCCCCTGGCTGTTGTGTGGTTTCTCTAGGCAAATTTACGTCCAGTAGTTTGCCATTGCTTCCTGGACGGTCGGCTTTCTTGATACCACTGTCGAAACCAACGCAAGGCGCATTGCCCGCAGCTGGGATCGAACCCGGCATCCCGGCATTACGAAGCGAAGTGTTCGCATCGACTTAGCCACAGAGCCGACAATATGACAACACAAGCATTTAATTATAAAGAACACATTCTGACCAAAAAGTGCCTCCGTACTTTCTGTTTCGCTGACGGTGGGGGAGGGGGGCGGGGGGGGGGGGGAAGGTGGGCGGAATGAGCGGAGGGGTGGATGGGAGCCTTGCCATATACTCAAGGAGGGCATGTTGGCCCTCTATTATACTTAGATGGGCGCAATGTGAAAAGGTTCATGACCACTGATCCAAAGGATGAGACTCTCAAAAACCCAAACATTCTTGAATTCTTGTTCAACCATTTAGTCATTTAGTACCACCAAATGTAGTCCAGTGTGGATGGGTTTTGGCATTACTTTAAAACTTTGTATTCTTCTTATTGTTCATTGGGGGGGGGGGGGGGGGAGGGGGGAAGCTGCGTGGTCTAGAGGCATGGTGTCCGCCTTGAGGACTAGAGGTTCCGGGTTCAATCCCCGGTAAGGGCGTGGATTTTTTCACGTGGACATGGACTTCTAGTTATTCCCCGCCGCCTCTGGGTAGTGATATCGAACGCTCGTGTGCATTGTTGCACACGTAAAAAAAATCCCTTGACAATTGGAAATCGAAAAGAGTTAGCCTAACGGGGCTGCCTGGGCAAAATTTTGAGTTAAAAATCTGCCTAAAGTATTTCAGGATCCTCGCCGGTGCTACAGAGTCTGTGCACTGTGCTGAGCAGCTTCGGACTCAGACTTGAGTTAGAAGAAGAGCGGAGCACTTATGGGTTACCCTTGTGCCATGATGTTGATCCGTTGTTCACATCTCAGTTCATTGGTGTCTTGTGTTGCATTGCGTTGGTAGGTGTTTCTGCCCTCGGTATCCTATGTCGTGTTATATCAAATTATTTTTAGCAGAGATTTCTTTTTAGCCCAGTGGTGTAGCACCTGGCAAAGGGGAAGGGAGGGTGGAGTGAGGAGGTTTCAAGGGACGTCCCTTTCTAAATTTATATTTTGAATTATAAAATCGTGAGGATTTGGGAAATCTAAGACCAAATGCGAAAATTCGTCTTGATATATACTTGATTTTCGAGACGTTTCTTATTGTGTGATGGTAATACTTTTGAAACTGACTATAGACGTTGCAACTTGTAATCCAAAGACGCGTGGTGATGTGGGACTATGATGATGGTGATGAATTAATACAATAATAAATATGACGAATGATCCTTTTTTTCAACCAATTTGTGAAATAACTCTCATTCTCTGCTGTGGCTTTTTTTTTTCTTTTCTGCAGCATTGTTCGCCATTTTGTTCAGCCACAAACAGGAAGCTGCCTTCGCTTCCTACCGGATGTTCCACGCCAGCGGCTGCGCACTGGCGTTTGGGTACAGCTACTTCCTGTGTGTGGAAACGAAAGTGTTTATCTTGGCCGGAACCTTGACCCTCTCCCTGGCCATGTACAGCGTTATCGAAATGAAGATGCAGTTGCAAAGCCAACACATCGGGGACATTGTTGCCTTGTGAGGTGTGTCAGCGGATGCGCAATCCCCTAGCCTGATAGGGGTCCTATCACTGTAGTTGTTATTGTTTCCCTTGTGGGCTCCATGGGAAGGGGGGGGGGGTGAATGAAATAATATACCCACTGCCCCATAACAAGCATGTCGTAAAAGGTCAGTATTTTGGGTATTTCCTTGGAAGTTGCACGCAAAATCAAGTTCTGGAACAAGGCCAAAGTCCAGAACTGGAAGAACAAGAACTCTCCACCTGAATTAACAGACGGTGAAGGCTTAGTATAAGAAGAAGAAGGCGAAAAAGGAGGAGGAGAACAAGAAGAATGGGGAGAAGAAGAAGAAAAAGAAGAAGAAGAAGAAGAAGAAGAAGAAGAAGAAGAAGAAGAAGAAGAAGAAGAAGAAGAAGAAAAAGAAGAAGAAGAAGAAGAGAAAGAAGAAGAATAAGAAGAATAAGGAGGAGGGGAGGAGGGGAGAAGAAGAAGAAGAAGAAGAAGAAGAAGAAGAAGAAGAAGAGGAGGAGGAGGAGGAAGAAGAAGAAGAAGAAGAAGAAGAAGAAGAAGAAGAAGAAGAAGAAGAAGAAGAATAAGAAGAAGAAGAAGAAGAAGAAGAAGATGTTATTGTAGCCATTTTCCTCGTGGTTGTTGTTGTTACAGAGGTTGTTGATCTATTTGGTGGTGTTGTAATTTTTGTTATAACAGTGTTGTAGTTGCTACTGTGATTGTGCTGTTACGGCCTCTTATTAATTATGTTCGTGGGCTTTTTTGTTAGTTTTGCTCCCGCGATTGCTTTCGCATTTGATGCAGTTCTGGCTTCTGTTGTTGTCTCTTTTGGTTCTGACCACTCTTGTTGTTGATGAAAATGTGGTGGATACTCTGTTGTTACTGGGATTATTGTTGTGATTGTTATTTTTTTTTTTAACTCATGTATTTCCAACTGATTTTTTTTGGGCGACTGTGAGTGTTGTTGCTTTCTGTTGTGACTGGAGTGCTTGTTTGTGTTATTGCTGTTTTGTTATGGCTAATGTTATTATGTCCACTGTTGTTGTATTTTATTTTTTGTGTCCACTGTTGTTGCTTCAACTATTGTTGTGTCTACTGTTGTTGCATCTATTGTTGTTGCATCCACTGATGTTTTATGTACAGTTGGAGTGTCTACTGTTGTTGTGTTTACTGTTGTTGTGTGTACAGTTGTTGTACAGTTGTTGTATCCACTGTAGTTTTGTCTACTGTTATTGTGTGTACACTTGTTGTGTCTGCAGTTGTTGTGTCTACTTTTGCTGTGTTTACAGTTGTTGTTTCTACTGTTGTTGAGTTTACAGTTGTTTGTTTCTACTGTTGTTGAGTTTACAGTTGTTGATTTATACTGTTGTTGAGTTTACAGTTGTTGTGTCTACTTGTGTTATGTGTACAGTTGTTGTGTCTGCTGTTATTGTGTCTACTGTTGCTATGTGTATAGTTGTTGTGTCTACTGTTGTTTCGTGTACAGTTACTGTGTCTACTTCTGTTGTGTCTACTGTTGTTGTGTGTACTGTTGTTGTGTCTACTGTTGTTGTGTCCACTCTTTTATGTCTACTGTTGTTGTGTCCACTGTTGTTAAGTGTGCAGTTGCGTTTTCTGTTTGTTATGTGTACAGTTGTTGCGTCTACTGTTGTTGTGTGTACTGTTGTTGTGTCTACTGTTTTGTGTCCACTCTTTTATGTCTATTGTTGTTGTGTCCACTGTTGTTAAGTGTACAGTTGTTGTTGTTGTTGTTGTTGTTCTTCTTCTTCTTCTTCTTCTTCTTCTTCTTCTTCTTCTTCTTCTTCTTCTTCTTCTTCTTCTTCTTCTTCTTTACCTTCATCTTCCTCAGCTTTTTCTCCTCCTCTTCCCTCTCTCAGACAGACCACCAGACACAGATATTAAAGTAGTCATAAAACAGAAGGAGACAAACATACAGAGGTTAAACACAAGAAGACGCAAAGAAAACATAAAAACTACTTCAATTGTTGTATTTAACACAATAGTCACACTGCACAGATGTGCACCATGAACGGACGACGCATTAAAAGACGTTCGTTTAATTAAATTTTTTTTTTTTTTAATTAGACATCCACTTTACTGACATTTACTCGGGTGTACAAATCACACGTATAAACAGTTTGCTGACATTTACTCGGGTGTACAAATCACACGTATAAACAGTTTACTGACATTTACTCGGGTGTACAAATCACACGTATAAACAGTTTACTGACATTTACTCGGGTGTACAAATCACACGTATAAACAGTTTACTGACATTTACTCGGGTGTACAAATCACACGTATAAACAGTTTACTGATATTTACTCGGGTGTACAAATCACACGTATAAACAGTTTACTGACATTTACTCGGGTGTACAAATCACACGTGTAAACAGTTTACTGACATTTACTCGGGTGTACAAATCACACGTATAAACAGTTTACTGACATTTACTCGGGTGTACAAATCACACGTATAAACAGTTTACTGACATTTACTCGGGTGTACAAATCACACGTATAAACAGTTTACTGACATTTACTCGGGTGTACAAATCACACGTATAAACAGTTTACTTACATTTACTCGGGTGTCAAATCACACGTATAAACAGTTTACTGACATTTACTCAGGTGTACAAATCACAGGTATAAACAGTTTACTGACATTTACTCGGGTGTACAAATCACACGTATAAACAGTTTACACCCGAATACAAAAGTTGTGAAAATACATAATAAGATTACAATATTTAATAAAACACATTTTACAATAATCTACATTTTAAGTAGTAAACAAAATGTAGATCTTCAACTAATGGAGGCCACAATTTTGAATGTTGAATTGAGATTCGATATCCTAGCACTTGGGACACTCCCATAAGCGCTTCGTCCCCATCTTCAGCAGCAAGCGAAGAGTTCCAGTTATGATTGTACCAGTAACTGTCTGACTGTACATCCGTCTCGCCTATCCACTGAGTGTTGAGCGTCGCTAAGATCCCCTGGTATCTACCCGCAGCGCCATTCTCCCCAGACCGTAATAATTTTTGTGTGTGCCTCCGCACTGTTCACTGGCTCCCAAAGGACCCTCACAACATCCAGCTTGTCATACAACGATTCACCACCAAGTGGCGCAGAACCGGCCAGTCAGTCTGACTGTTCGTTTCCCAAACATACCAGCATGCCTGGAGAAAATATCCAAAAAGACGCTAACTACCCGGGACCTCTGAAACGATGCTTGCCATTCTTCACGGAGTATGCCTGTCTAAACCTTTCTCAAGATACTATGTGAGTCAGTTACAATTACGACATGTGTGTAGACCAAGAAGAAGATGGATTGAAGGAGTCACGGACAACTTGAGACTTCATAACATCACGTCATATGAAGCGACTGAGCGCGCCCTGGCTCGGTTGCCGATCATCTGATAGACTGCGACGCCTAGCGGTACAAGCAGATTTTGACAAAAGAAGAAGTGTACAGCTGACTCTCAAGCTAGCCGAAGGTTGCAATGACCGCCTCCACGTCCATTCTCAAACAAGCGGAAGACAGCAATGACCGCCTCCACCTCCATTCTCAAACCAGCGGAAGTCTGCAATGACCGCCTCCACCTCCATTCTCAAACAAGCGGAAGTCTGCAATGACCGCCTCCACCTCCATTCTCAAACCAGCGGAAGGCAGCAACTATTTGAGTCCGGAACAATCCACTATGTATGACCGTCTATTCTCAGCAGACCCCAAGTAAAGGATCCTTTTCCACGCCTTCAGGCCGACAGGGAATATAGGGCTGGACATATATTTGTGTACACCAGTCGGCGCACGGTGAGTGACATGGTCAACATTACGCCGGCCGCCATTACTTCCCATGACTTTACTACCTGGTATACTTTAAGGCTGGGTCGATCTGAGAGCCAAGCCTGTAGCAGGTCCTTTGCAGAACGTCGCTCAATGAAACTTGGTCTCTCGCCAGCTCTCCTACCTCGTGTACTTTCATATTCAAGGAATGACATACATCCTGTGCCCATCTTCGTGTTGGTTAGCCCCTGCTCCTCCTTCCCGATACCATGCCTTCTGCTATTAATTTTTCCAATCCGCCATAGCGCTTGATATGACCAAAATGTTTGAGCTTCCGAGACAGAATGCGTTAACGCATCGTTAGCCGGACCCGGTGACGTCAGCAGCATGGCCCGTCAGCTAGAGCCGGTCGTGGGCAGACAAAAGGTTAGTTGCGTATCCTTTACAGGACGTGGCAGAACCAACCCCAGCAGCCCCTGGCTGTTGTGTGGTTTCTCTAGGCAAATTTACGTCCAGTAATTTGCCATTGCCCACTGCACGGTCGGCTCCGTTATACCACTGTTGAAACCAACGCAAGGCGCATGACCCGCAGCTGGGATCGAACCCGGCACCCAGGCATTACGAAGAAAAAAAAACAGAAGTGTTCGCATCGACTTAGCCACAGAGCCGACATGCAGGCAATAGAAAGACAAAAACTGTGTATATGCCAAGAGCTGAATGGTAGAAGACTACGAGGCAGACCAAGAAGGTCGTTGACTGATATCATACAGACAGACCTACGCAGTGATCAGGCCTGGTGTTGCGGCTAGAGGCTCGACTGAGAGCCCGAAGGGCGTGGAACCAAATCTCTAAGGGCTGAACTTGATTTTTTTTTTTTAAGGCTTTGCTCCCAGCTCGACCCAACCTTAAATGGGTACCAGGTAAAAGTATTGGGAAGTAAAGGCGGCTGACGTAATGCTGACCACATCACTCACTAAGTTCCGATTGGGCTACTATTTAGTGCTATTTAGTGCTATAAGAGTGCGAAGACGCTAGTGACACACTCCCTATGATGATACACAGATGGGTAGATAATGTCAAAGTCGGCTTTTTCTACCACCTACAAATGTGTGTGATCAGAACACGAATGTAAGCCGTCGTGATGTAGCGGTTAGACGATCGCCTGACGAACTGAAGGTCGTGGGTTCAAAATCCGCATGATGATAGATTTTTTCTTCAAACATGAATTTCGCTTCCCAGTCGACCCAGTCCTAAATCAGTACAATGGAAAATCGTGGGAAGTAAAGGTGACCAAAGTAATTTTGACCGCTGCACACATCAAAGTCTGTTTTTTAAAAATCAGACTATCCTTATATGTATGATATGCTTCTGGCGTCCTAAAGGGACCTGCTACAGAACATGAATGAAACAGGTACTGAGAAAGATCTGGAGCAGCAGTATTTCATGGGTCGCGTAGCAAAAAGAGTCAAAATTTAGCAGGAAATTATGGGCAAATTGAACAATAACTGTCAACACGTTAAGAGTTTGCTTGCTTGCTTGTGTACCCCACCAGGACATCACACAAGCGATAAACACCCTAGTGAAACAATGTGCCACTTTGTGGATGAGGATCTCCCGTGGAGAGGTCCCAGAAACCCTCTTCAGCCGTTATGACCACATTTGTGGCTCAGCTATATTCAGGGTACCCCGGCTAAAGCCAGGGCGGGGTGTCAAAATACTAAAAATTGATTTCCACAAGGGGATGACTTAAAGGGACATTAAATCAGAGGCGTAGCAACGGGAGTAGGGGCCCCGCACCGGGTGTAATCACTAGAAAGGATGATGATGATCAGCCGCACCAGGACATCAAAACGAACGATTAACACCCGGTGACACAAAGTGCCACCATTCGAATAAGAATCACCCGGGGACATGCCCCAGAAACCCCGTTCCACCCATATGTTAGGTTATATTAGGGCCCCCATAACAGCCAGGGTCGAGCGTGAAAATAACAAAATATTGCGTTCAATATTTGGACGCATAAAAAGTGTATACATCTATGGAAAGTGAGTGGTAACACAACAGCAAAAGTATGTGTGTTTAAACATTTACAAATGTGCGTTAGTGGATTTGTTGTGTGTGTGGCTGTGTGTGTGTGGAGGGGGAGGGGGGTGATTGGAAACTGTCCACACCGGGTACCTGGCTAGCCCACTGCATCAAACGCGCGCGTTGACAGCAAAGGTCAAGAAATCTTACTAAGTTTTTTTGTTTGCTTTTTGTGGAAGCATTTTTGTATGAACAGGAGCAGGTCTTGCTAGTCGCACTCGCCATCACCGCAGGCAGTTGTTCGCATGCTTCCATGCAGCACCATATACCCTGTCGTCTGGACAGACGGAAAGGTTCCAAGGAACTTTCCTAACTCTCTTTCACCGATTAAAAGTTTCAGCAAATGCTTTTACTATCCCTCAGGGGCGATAACACTCAACTTCTTGTGAATACTGTCCGAATCAGTGCACTTGGAGCTTCGTGTCCCATTGCTAATAGAGCTAAGACTAGACTCCGTGGTGCTTCTTCGGGGTTTTCTAGTTCGGGTGAGGCACGAATTCACACCAGTCTTGGATCCAGAAATAACGCAGAATGGCTGTTTCTTGTGTGGTTTACTTCTGCATCGACAAAAAAGCTGTACAAAAGTCTGCCTGAATTTTTTGCCGGAGACGCAGTAGATGGCGAAGTTGATGGCCGAGTTGATCAAGAGGCAGGTGTCAGCGATGGCGGAGAATCTGGAAAAAAAAAAAGAAATACATTATGACAAGGACGGTCATTGGCATCATAGTCTTATAACACTGGGTGTCGCTGGGTTATCAGCTACTGTTGACTGAAGGATCTGTTGCATCCAGCTCAGCAGGGCAATTGTAATATCGATGTGAAGTGTGTCTGTCTGAAGCCTGCCCATGAAGGACGGACAATGCCTCGACTGCTTACTGATTAACTGTATGGAAATTTTGGTGAAGAAATTTTAAACGTAACAATGTAATGGGTTTAACTTTAGGATCGGCGTCTATGCTTAACACAATACGATATTGTCGTCCCCATGTAAGATGCAATTTTTAGGTTTTTTGAAGCCCCAACCTGGCTTTTGCGGGGGCAGGGGGGAAAGGCTAGATATAGCCAGGCCTTAAATATGGCCTAACGGTTAAATAGGCTTTCTGGGACCGCTCCACGGGTGATCCTCATCCGCATGGAGGCACTTTGTGTCACTGGGTGTTTATCGTTCGTGTGATATCTTGGTGAGGTACAACTTACCTGCCTAATCTATGCTTAGGCTCTGCGAACACTGTTAGTTATGCAGAGGTGCCGGGTTCGATCACAGTTGCAGACGATTTGGCAGCAGACTTTCTTGCGTTAGTTTCGACAGTGGTACCGAGAACTGACGGTTCACTAAGCAATGGCAAACTGTTTTGCAACGTCATGTAATGGATAGGCAACTAACTTAACGTCAGGAACTACAGACACGCTGTCAGAAAATCAATTAGTTAATTCATCATCAGCATCATCATCAGGTGCCTTGCTGACTGGCGTGGGCGATCATGCCTCTCCGTAATCTGCGATCTCCTGCAGCATGTATCAGTTCGTGTGCCGACATACCTCCGTGTCATGCAACAAGACTGTCAAGCATCTTCTATCGTCGTCTTCCTCTATCCCTCCTTCCACAGATCTTTTCAGTGTTAATATGCGAATTAGCTAATTCGCATATTAGGTAATAAAACGATTATATATGGAATTTATTAATTGATTATTTACGTGGTGAATTCAGTATTTATATTCATCACTATCCTTCAGTGCCGTTATGTGCCACACAGGACGCGCAGTCTTCTCCATCATTCCGCAATATTCCGTGCAGTCAGTTAAATATCATGGGTGGAATCTAGTTCAGCAGCTTTGGCCTCTCTCATCTGCCTTCCGCTGGCTTGAGAGTCAGCTGTACACACATGTCGTCATTGTAACTGACTCACAGAGCATGCTGAGAACGGTGGAGACAAGCATGCTCCGTGCAGAGTGGCAAGGATCACTTTAAAGGTCCCGGGTAGGGAGCATCCTTTAGTTATTTTCTCCAGGTCACGCCGGTGTGTTGGGAAATAAGCAGGCAGATAGACTGACCGGTTCTGCTCCACTTGGTGGTGAACTGATGTATGACAGGCTGAATGTTGTGAGGGCCCTTTGGGAGCGAGTGAACAGTGCCGATGAACAGATAGATCATTACGGTCTGAGGAGAATAGCACTGCGAGGAGCTACAAGGGGATCTGCCCGACGCTCGACACACGGGGGAGGGGCGAGACGGATATACAATCAGACTGTTACTGGTACCATCGGAATTCTAACTCTTCGCTTGCTACTGAAGATTGGGACCGAGCGCTTATGGGAGTGTCTCGAGTGCTGTGATGTCGATTCTTAACTCAACATTAAACATTCATCAACGTTTGTTTTAGGATTTATTTTATGCTCATCGCCTTCTTATTACATTTATTTCCAACTGTAACGCTTGCTTGGTGATTCTGTTATCTCTCCATCGTCTTCTTGGTCTGCCTCCTGGTCTACGACCATTCATCTTCCTTGTGTATACATTTTGTTACTGCTCTGTCATTTGACATTCTTTCAACCATTTTATTAGCTCTCATGATACCAGTAATCAAAGGTGATTTAAACAGATTATGAATTTCGTTGTTCCCTCACACACTCCATTCCTCGCTGTTTACATCTTTGATAGGTCCAAAGATTTGTCGTAACACTCTGTTTTCAAAAATTTCTAATAAGGCTTGATCTCTTTTAGTTGTGCTCCAAGTTTCAGAGCCATGTAAAACGACTGGTCTTATCAACATTACATTATCTTATTATTTATTATTTTCATTGGTATACAACCATTCTACTTATTGTCGTCGTTTAAAATACGATGCCTTGACGCAGAAAGTAGTTATTCTTCTTCTTCTGCCTTTCTATCCCCCAATGGAGCAAAGGCCCTCAACCAACTCACGCCAAGTCGTTCTATCCTTCGCCATTGCATGGAGCTCTCCCCATGTCCTCCCAATCTTTCTAACCTCGTTCTCCAGCTCTCTTCTCCATGTGTTTTTTGGCCTTCCTTTATTCCTATGCCACTGTGGGTTCCAATGCAAAGAAATTCTAGTAATGCTGTTCTCCTGTTTTCTCAGTGTGTGCCCTATCCAACGCCAGCGTCTTTTCCTCACTTCCTGATCCACTGGAGCCTGTTTAGTTCTCTCCCAAAGTTCTACATTAGTCATTCTATCATACCATTTTATTCCCTCTATTCTGCGCAGGCACCAGTTAATGAATGTCTGTAATTTATTAGTAATTGCCTTGGTTGTTCTCCATGTTTCCGCCCCATACAATAGTACTGATTTGACATTAGAATTAAAAATTTTTAGTTCAGTATTTCTTTTAATTTCTTTTGACCTCCACAAATTCCCTAGTGCTATGAAAGCCCCTCTTGCCTTTTGTATTCTTATTTTAATATCTCTATCAGTTCCTCCATCTTTATCTATATTACTGCCTAAATAGGTGTACGACTCCACGTCTTGGAGTGGGGTGCCATTAAGAGAAACCACATTACTATTTGCCTGATTTATTCTCATTATCTTTGTCTTTCCTTTATGGATTTTCAGACCAAGCTGTTTTGATCTCGCATTAAGTATATTTAATTTATCTTGTATCTGATTCCGTGAATGGGACAGAAGAGCAATATCATCAGCGAAGTCCAGATCATCAAGCTGTTTTGTAGGGGTCCACTGAATTCCATTCTTGGTGTTAGCAGTTACTGTTTTCATAGTCCAGTCTATAGCCAGTTTAATGGTTTCTGGTGTTATCCATGCTTTAACACGAAGATGGACACAGGATATAAGTGACTTCCTGAGTATGAAAGTACATAAGGCGGGAGAGCTGGCGAGAGACCGAGTTTCTTTCAGGCAGACCGTGATAAAAGCGACGTTTCGCAAAGGACCTGCTACATGATGATGATAATGGTTTATAATCTCTAACTCCTTTGTCTCAAAGTCCCCAGAACGCAGCGCATCAGTATATCCCCCCTGTCCATTCTTCCTTCTCTAGCAACCGCTGCAGACACGGCCAGTCTGTCGGCTCTTTTATTTCCGTTTACCCCGACATCTCGTGGTGGGTAAAGCCAAGATGGCTTCATGAGGCGGGAAGAATGATTCGTTTAGGAAACGTAGTTGGATGAACAAATGGATGGATGTGTGGATGGATGGAGGAATGGGACATATTTATTAATGGACGAACGGACAGACACACAAGACACAGGTCTGACCTGCTTATCTCCACAGGAAGCTGGTCGTACGATGAGAAGCCCATGAGAACAATTTGACATATTGCCGCCACCAGTTCGCAGACGAAGAAAATTGACGTCATACAGAAGACCATCATGGTCATTCGGCGCTCGTCCGTCGTGAAAGTCTGTATGGTATAGAAGGATGAGGAGGAGGAGGACGGAAGTGAGGAAGATCTCCAAGGAGAGACAAATTACGAAGTTCATGTTTTAAGTAAAGTATAGTAAAGGGAGCCACCGTGGCATGGCGGCTAGACACTCGCTTACGGATCCGATGATCGTGGGCGGGGGTCCTAACGGAGCTGGACTTAATTTTCCTTCGAAAATGACTTTGGTTCCAAGGTCGACCCAGCCCTAAATGTGTAGCAGGAAATTCCTGGGAAGTAAAAGCGTTGGGCGCGATATTGACCACATCACCAACCGAGTGCCATTGGTATATAAAATATAGGTCTAGCCCTATATGCCCAATACGCCTAAAGGTGTGGGGAAAGTCCACGACTTTACTTAACAGAAGTAGTAGGACATCGGGTATTAGCTGGCCTCCGTGGCGAAGTGGTAAAGTCGTTTGCTTGGTTCTACGATTGTCTTGGGTTCCTTTCCTTGTCGCGATGTTCAGTTCACGAGTGTCATTTTTTAAAGAGGCCCCTGGGGAATCGTAGCGAAGCTATGGTGTTGGTGCTTTGTGCGACACTTTCGGCAAGTGGCAAACTGTTCTGTGGGGAGATAACAAGTCATTTACGACAAAACTCGGTTGAACCGGGTTCACCAGGTTTTGTACGTGTAGGATTCTTCTGTTTCTTCTTCTTTTACTTCTACTTCTACCTCTACTTCTACTTCTGCTTCTGCTCTACTTTTATTTCTCGTACTTCTACCTCTACTTCTACTTCTACTTCTACTTTTATTTCTCGTACTTCTACTTCTACCTCTACTTCTACTTCTGCTTCTGCTTCTACTTTTATTTCTCGTACTTCTACTTCTACCTCTACTTCTACTTCTGCTTCTACTTTTATTTCTCGTACTTCTACATCTACTTCTGCTTCTACTTTTATTTCTCGTACTTCTACCTCTACTTCTACTTCTACCTCTACTTCTATTTCTGCTTCTACTTTTGTTTCTCGTACTTCTACTTCTACCTCTACTTCTACTTCTGCTTCTACTTTTGTTTCTCGTACTTCTACCTCTACTTCTACTTATACTTCTGCTTTTATTTCTCGTACTTCTACTTCTACCTCTACTTCTACTTCTGCTTCTACTTTTGTTTCTCGTACTTCTACCTCTGCTTCTACTTCTGCTTCTACTTTTATTTCTCGTACTTCTACTTCTACCTCTACTTCTACTTCTACTTCTGCTTCTACTTTTGTTTCTCGTACTTCTACTTCTACCTCTACTTCTATCTCTACTTCTACTTCTACTTCTACTTCTACTTCTACTTCTACTTCTACCTCTACTTCTACTTCTACTTCTACTTCTACTTCTACTTTTATTTCTCGTACTTCTACTTCTACCTCTACTTCTACTTCTACTTCTGCTTCTACTTCTACTTCTACTTCTACCTCTACTTCTACTTCTACCTCTACTTCTACTTCTGCTTCTACTTCTACTTCTACCTCTACTTCTACTTCTGCTTCTACTTCTACTTCTGCTTCTACTTCTGCTTCTACTTCTACTTTTATTTCTCGTACTTCTACTTCTACCTCTACTTCTACTTCTTTTCTGCTTCTACTTCTACTATTATTTCTCGTACTTCTACTTCTACCTCTACTTCTACTTCTACTTCTGCTTCTACTTCTACTTTTGCTTCTGCTTCTCCTTCTGCTTCTCCTGCTACTTCTGCTTTTGCTTCTACTTCTACTTCTACTTCTGCTTCTACTTCTACTTCTACTTCTACTTCTACTTCTACTTCTGCTTCTACTTCTACTTCTACCTCTACTTCTGCTTCTACTTCTACTTTTATTTCTCGTACTTCTACTTCTACCTCTACTTCTACTTCTACTTCTGCTTCTACTTCTACTTCTACTTTTATTTCTCGTACTTCTACTTCTGCTTCTACTTCTACTTCTACTTTTATTTCTCGTACTTCTACTTCTACCTCTACTTCTACTTCTACTTCTGCTTCTACTTCTACTTTTGCTTCTGCTTCTCCTGCTACTTCTGCTTTTGCTTCTACTTCTACTTCTGCTTCTACTTCTGTTTCTACTTCTGCTTCTACTTCTCCTTCTCCTTCTACTCCTTCTTTTACTTCTCCTTCTGCTTCTACTTCTGCTTCTACTTCTGCTTCTTCCTTCTCTTCTTCTTCTTCTTCTTCTTCTTCTTCTTCTTCTTCTTCTTCTTCTTCTTCTTCTTCTTCTTCTTCTATTTCGCGCTTACCTCCAAATGAGTGTTCAGTTGTTCGTCAACTTCTAGCCCTACTCCAGAACCTGAGTGTTGCGTGTACATCTGCCTTATTTGTATGCAGACTGTTAGTTCCTTTCCTCTCAGGCAGATGCACTTCGACTTCGAATTAAGATCCCAAGTTGTCGACTTTTACCTCGGAACCCACGCGACGATCCTTGGTTATGATTTTGCACTCATTAATTTTTGTTAATTATTTGCGTTACTTTTGGAATTAAGTATTCTACTCGTCTTCTTCTGCCTTCTGTCCACCAGTAGAACACAGGCCCTCGACCAACTCACCCTAGGTCGTTCTGTCCTTCGCTTTTGCATGCGGCCCCCTATGTCCTCTCCATCCTTCTAATGTCTTCTTCTTCTTCTTCGCGTTCACCAGCTGTAAACTCTGGCGGAAGGTTCTGGTTGCTCATCCACTACTGAACTGCAGTCCTGCTCCAGAAGCTGAGTGTTGCGTGTGCATCAGTTTTACAGATCTCATTCTCTTGAATACACACTGTTGGTTCCTTGCCTCTCCGGCAGATGCACTCCGACTTCAAAGGAAGCTCCCCAATTAGTCTACTCTTACGACATGCTTTTGGGGAGGCAGTGGGTCTATTCTTGTTTTCCCCACAATGGGGCCCCGGAACTCACACGGGGGCCTTCTAATGTGACTCTTAACTTTGGATTTCAACGTGCCTTTTTGGTCTGTCTATATGTCTGTGACCACGTGGGTTCCAGTTCAAAGACATGCTTTTAATATTGTTCCATGTCTTCTCAGCGTTTGTCCCATCCAACGATAACGTCATAATATAGACCCAACAACGAAGCAAAAACAATCTTCGTTTAAGCAAACAAGTCGGCTCTGTGTCTAAGTCGATGCGAACGCTTCGTAATGCCGGGATGCCGGGTTCGATTCCAGCTGCGGGTCATGCCCCTTGCGTTGGTTTCGACAGTGGTATCAAGAAAGCCGACCATCCAGAAAGCAATGGCAAAACTATACGTAAATTTGCCTAGAAAAACCACACAACAACAGCCAGGGGCTGTTAGGGTTGGTACTGCAACTTCCTGAAAAGGATACGCCACTAACCATAAGCAAACATCAAGGGGAGACAACGAAACATACCCGCTTTGACGTGGCGTTCATCCTGCTTTTTCGAAGGGAAATAATCATGAAATAATTAAACAGGATGAGTAGAACAAACGGAAGTGCAAAGTTCACGATAATGTTAAGCCGTTTGATGAAGATTTCCGTGTAGAATGTCGATCTTCCGAAATCATTTCTGTGGAGGAGGAAGAAGAAGATCCAGTGACGTTCAAGTACTTATTACTAATTAGGAATCGACATCATAGCACACCGGGCATACCTATAAATGCCCACTCTCCTGCAGCAAATGTCTTAAAGTCTAAATGGTAACTGTTCCCTACAGCAATTGTCATCCCACTTGTGAGCTGTAAAATTTTCGGTTTTTTTATAAAGCCCCACCCTGGCTGTTACAGGACCTCAAGATAACATGACGGTTGAAGGCGGTTTCCATGACCTTGCCAAGGGTGATCCTCGTCCACATGGTGGCACTTTGTATCACCGGGTGTTTATTCGCTTCCGTGATGTCCTAGTTGGATAAAATGTACTTACTACTTACTTTCCAACTGTTCCTATATAGTCGCCGTCCCAATATGGGGCGCAATTTTTCGTTATTCTTAGGCCATGGGCGGGTGTTCAAAACATCAAATCTGAGTCAGGTCGACAATTGGTAGGTAGGTAGTGGACCCCACCAGGACATCTAAAAAGCGATAAATACCAGGTGACACAAATTGCCACCATGCGGATGAGGATCACCAGTGGAAAGGTCCCAGAAACCCCCTTCAGTCGTTTAGGCCATATCTATGGCTAGGCCATATTTATGGCCCAAATATATTCAGGGCCCCCGGCAAAAGCTAGGGTGGGGCTTCACACACCTTAGTATGTCTTCTTTCAGACTCAATATTTGTTTTTGTCTAAAATATGTTATTTTAATGCAGTATTATTATTTTACTGAGCTGACCCTAGCTGTGACATTATTTGTTTATTGAAATTTCTCCCGATTTACGGTATTTCACAATGGAATCAGGCCGAAAGGTTGCGACAAGAATACCGAGCTAATGTATTACAACTCAGTGGAAAACTGATACTAAAACAAACAATATATGCGACAATTTTTTTTTTTCACGTTCGTTTTCAACGCCACCATAGTATGTCTAAATGATCAGATTCACATATATGTGTTTGTCTAAACTGTGCTAAATTTTAATGCAATCCAGCAGTTTTTACTGAGTTAAACCTAGCAGTAAAATTATTTATTTATGAAATTTGTTACGAAATTAGCGATGTTTCACTCTTGGCAACGATACATGCACAAGGAGATAACTATGTATTTTATATCGTTAAAACCGGGATTATGTCCCCTACACTATTCAGCGAGATTCGCGATTGTGGAATTTTATCCATTCACCGCCGATTCATTGGCATCTATAAATGATGAGAAACTTCCATATATGGGTGTCAGTCACTGCGATTCCCGTTGGCAGTTGAAAATTGAAAGAACTCCAGCCTAATTTAGGGGCCCTAATAAAAACCAAAAAAATGGATCTAACCAACAAGGTTTTTGGCATCCTCGCCGTCACTAGGTGTTGGTCGTTCTTTGAGATTTCCTGGTGGGGTTAAATTTTGTTCACTCATTCATACACCAAGCAATTCGTAAAGTGTAAATGCCAGCTGTTTCCCCCTGGTCTCTTGGTAGTAAGACCGGACGCCTGTGAGTATTGTTGCGCACGCAAAAAAAATTCAGTGGCAGTTGGAAATCGAAAAAGAAAAGCCTAACGGCGCTGCCCGGGTAAAGTTTAAAGTTTAAAACAATCTACCCAAAGTATTTCAGGATCCTCGTCGGCGTTAAGGAGTTCGTGCAGCGCTGAGATACTTCGGACTCAGGCTTGAGTCCCAAGTAGAACGGAGCATCTATGGGTCACTACCCTTGTACCATGATGTTGATCCGTCGTGTAAACCTTAACCTAAATACTATTTACACACACACCCGATATCTTCTTCACATACATCCATCCTTGCCTGATCCGCCCCTGATCACTCGTACACAGATTCATATATACGTTATTTCATCTACCTTTGTGTTTTTTATCAGCATTCGTTCATAAATGGTCTTGTGTGAGTGTGTGTGTGTGTGAGTGTGTGTGTGCGTGTGTGTTTGAGTGTGAGTGTGTGTGTGAATGTGTGTGTGAGTAAGTGTGTGCGAGTGTGTGTGTATGTGTGTGTGTGTGAGAGTGTGTGTGTGTGTGTGTGTGAGTGTGTGCGAGTGTGTGAGTGTGTGTGTGTGTGTGTGTGTGTTGTGAGTGTGTGTGTATACAGTTTTGAAATGTTTTATTTAAACTGCATTAACAGTCTATCTTTTGTTAGCCACCAGTAAGGAAGTTGAAGACAACATTTTAAATACATTCAACTTTCCTCTAGCAACTTACGAAAATGATTCGTGGACTGTCTCGCAATCATTAGGGAAGAAAATATGGGATTTTAAGCGGAATTATTATAGAGAGGTCCTCAGAATCTCATGGACAAAGAAGAAAAGATATAACAGGATATAAGTGAGACATTGAGTATGAAAGTGCACGCCGAGTGAGTTAGTGAGTGAAGTAATTCAATCCCTTCAGGACCCTACAATAAGCGATTAACAACAGGCGACACAAAGTGCCACCATTCGGAATGAGAATCCCCCTAGGCGCAAGTCCCAGAAACCCCGTTCAACCGTTAGGTTATGTTAGGGCACCCGACGACAGCCGGAGTGGGGCTCAAAAATAACAAAACATTGCGTCCTATATTAGGACGGATCTAAGTAGAGGGGAGTGATCCTTTCATCCATTTATGGAAAAAAAAATTAAAAAACGACCACGTTCAACCTACTGCCAGCAGTATCGGTTATGATTATGGTCTGGTTTCTTTGTGCCAATTATGTTGGCTAAGAAATTTTATTTGCACCAAAACCAGAGGCTTGGACTGGTGCTCTTGTACCCAGTGAGGGCTGTTAGGGAGGGGACTGGTATACACTATACACACTCACACTAGTAACTTTCAAGCGGAAGATTATGAGAGCGACGTTCTGCAAAGAACCTGCCACATGGCGACAAATACTCACTACAAACTGAGCTTACACAGTGAAAACATTGCTCCATGTTTGAGTAGAGTTGTCCCAAACAGTCTGTAGCTCGTAAGCCCTGTAGGTTGGGATGTGGTAGAGAACAGCCAAACAACACCACGGCGGCAACAGCAATTTTGGCGGATTTGATGCTGAGGAGGTAAATGAATTAAAGAAAAGTTACGTTTCCCTTACGACACGTTCGCCTGGTGATCCGAATGTCGTAGGTTCGGGTCCGGAGGTGGCCAGACGTTTTTTTTTTTTTTCAAAAATGCCAGTGGTTGCCAGTAGCGGCCGGCGTGATTTTTGACCACATCACTCCCTGAGCGCGGATTGATATATAAAATATAGTTCTTGCCCCAAATGCCCGAAACACCCAAAGGCGTACACTTTCTCAACGTCATCATCATCAACCTGTGCCGTTTAGACTTCATCATAAAGCTCTCCGTTGATTCTCCCCTTCCCTCATATCCATTTTATTATCTGGCGGACAAATGTTTTACGTAGGAAGTGATCAGTCTCCCAATTATCCCCTAAACAATTTGTACGGGGACAAAAACACCCCAGCCACCCTTTCCCTGCAACAATGTATAAAAGCATCCTTTCAAGTATTTGTATATTTCATATTATTTCAAAAACATTATACATTTCTTTTTCTATTTAGCACATAGTAACGATAACAGTAAGACTTATTACTATTATTATTGCTAATATTATTATTCTCACGTAAACGCGGGCTAAGCCATTCAGCCTCCCACTCCACTCGCCTAGTTGACCATGTTCTTAGTGCACTTGTATCCATGGCGAGGCGCAGACGCCGTCTGGAGGTGACAGGTTCAATTTCCGGCACGGTAACTATAGCTTTCGATTGTTATGTTGTCTAGTGTGTTCTTCTAACTTTCTACTTCTTTCTATGAGTGCCAATCAATACACTTTCTGTTACCTGATTAATTCACTCCACTCCCCAAAACATGTGTGCTAGTAAGGATCGCTAGTAAGGACCCCCCCCCCCACTCCCCCTTCCCCCGCCCCCTTCCACCATCACACCCTCCACCATCACACCCCTCCACCATCACAACCCCTCCACCATCACACCCCTCCACCACACACACCCCACCATCACATCAAACCCCTCCACCATCACACCCCTCCACCATCACACCCCTCCACCATCCACACCCTCCACCATCACACCCCTCCACCATCACACCCCTCCACCATCACACCCCCTCCTCCCATCACACCCCTCCACCATCACACCCCTCCACCATCACACCCTCTCCATCACCACCCCTCCACCATCACACCCCTCCACCATCACCACCCCTCCACCACACACCCTCCACCATCACACCCCTCCACCATCACACCCCTCCACCATCACACCCCTCCACCATCACACCCCTCCACCATCACACCCCTCCACCATCACACCCCTCCACCATCACACCCCTCCACCATCACACCCCTCCACCATCACACCCCTCCACCATCACACCCCTCCACCACACTCCTGGTTGCTGATGAGTGGTGCGGAGCTGGAAACAAAAAGAGTCGTATTGATTGTAGTGACACGCCTGACTGCGTCTTCTGTCCCCTAGAGGCTGGAACCGCCAGATATGAACATCAAAGAACGCGTGCTGGATACCATCACCAACATTTCTACCAGGGATTCGCTAGTCTAATTCACGGAAGGTGATGATAATGATAGTGATGATAAAGTTGTTGATATGGTAGTGGTGATGATAATGATAGTGATGATAAAGTTGTTGATATAGTAGTGGTGAGGATAATGATTGTGATGATAAAGTTGTTGATATGATATGGTAGTAGTGATGATGATAAAAATTATAATGACGTGGATGATGACTATGACAACGATGATGATTATGAGAATGAAGTTGATAAAGATGCTGATGCTGTTGCTGATAATGATGATTATGTTTAGTCGCTCCTCTTCTACCTTGGGGTGTAGAGGTTTGCCAGAGAGATCAACGGAAGTCTCTATCAGCAGTTTTCTTTCTGGCTTTGTTCCATTCCAGTTCTCTGTCAGTTAAAGACTGTCAGATGTTGTCTTCCCAGCGCACCCTGGGTCGTCATGGAGGTCTGGTTCCCTGGTTCTTAGCCTCCTATGCCTGCCGTGGTAACCGATTTTCTTCCATTCTGCATACATGTCTAAACCATCGTAATTGTTACTGATACACTCAGGTTTGTAAGGACTGGGTATCAGGATCGTGACGTATTGTCTGATTGCGGACTTTGTCCCTTCTTGTCCCTTGGACCAGCTTTCTCAGACACCTCATTTCTGAGACCTGAAGCTAGTTTCTGTGAGCTGTTGTCACTGTGATGATTATGATAGTGGTTTAAATATAGCTTAATCAAAATGATCCTTCCTCAAAGTATGACGCGTATTAATAAGTGTGCCAGCGCGCACTATTTTTTCTGATGGGCATCCTTGCCCCACAAGGTCTGCAACAACCAGCATAGTTATGGAAGAGATTAAATAGCAGTTACATTTCACGTTTATTCCACGCGAAGACCACAACACATTCCTGCTAGTCTTCACATGTTATTTTGCGAATGGTTTTCGTGCAAAAAAAACAAACTAATTAGTTGTTTACTGACCAGTTCCCTAATCTTAATCAGCAAAATTGTATGGTAAAATCGTAAAACACAATTTTACACTATGCACGGTACTACTTTTCAAACTGCTGCCTTCGAATTTTTAACAGCGCTGAAAATGTTTACAGTTGATCCTGAATCCTTTGAAATATTTTCCATGACATGTTAAACAGTAATTGCAAGGAAAGATTGAACGATATCTTTATTTAGACTCTCTATGATTATCTAAAGCGCAATTTTATTTTACGCATTGCAAGGATTCTCAAGATACAGTTCACATAATGTAAACGGCCCTAGAGATGCTTTCAATGGATCCTTGATCTTTTGCGACTTGTTGCATAGCTTGTAGATATTAATTTCAACATCTAGCTTCAACATAAGCTCATTTAGATCCTCTGTCGATTATATCTAAAATACTGTTTCCCAAACTTGTCCAAGTCGTGGTACCTTTTTTTTTTCAATTCAGTAAAGAGGTGGCGGCTCCCCGGGGCACAGCGGCGCACAGTTTGGGAATCACTGGTCTAAATCCATACTTTTATGTTATGCATGGCAATGATTCTCAAACCACTGTCCAAGAAAGGTTACAAAGTAAGTTAAGTAAAGAATATGTTCCTTTTTCACGCCTTAAGGCGCATTCTGGCATATATCCACATTTTTTTAAACAAACCAATCGGCACTAGGTGGGTAATGTGGTCATCATTACGCCGGCCCTCTTTACTTCCACAGGACGTATATCCTGGGGACCCATTTTAGGCTGGGTCGACCTGCGACACCCCATAGCACGATACAAATACACGCAGCCAGCAGTGGGTTCCGATCGCAGTAACGTTGGAATTACGAGTCCGACTCGCAACGCCTAAGGCATGGACGCCGCTAAGAAAGGTTATGGAGTTAAGCTGAGTTGATTCAAGAACAGACATCACATCACTGTGGCATTTTCAAAAGCACTACGTCCCCATTTTCAGCAGCCAGCGAAGCGTTCGGATACTAATGGTGCCAGTAGCATTTTGATTTAACGCCCGTCTTGCCTTTCCTCTGAGTCTCGAGCATCGGCCATAACCTCTCGTCACTCCCCGCTGCATCAGTCTCACCAGACTGGTGATTCATCTGCTCCTCCGAACTGTACACGCTCTCCCACAAGACACTAACTACGTATATAATCTTGTCATCCCTTTGTGGGATTCATTTTTTCGTTTTTTGAAGCCCTACTCTGGCTCTTGCCAGGGGCCGCAATATAGCCCGGTCATAAATATAGTCTAATGGCTGAACGCGGTTTCTGGGATCTCCCCATGGGTGATCCTCATCCACATGGTGGCAATTTGTGTCATCGGGTGTTTATCGCTTGTGTGATGTCCCGGTGGGGTAAAAGAATATAGATAGATAGACTAACCACGTCTGCCTTATCATGCATCAGTATTCCGCCAAGCTGTGCAGAGCCAGCCAGTCTGTCAGCCTGTTCATTTCTCAACACATCGGGGTGTCCCGGTGAAAAAAAGAAAAGCCACACAGTGTCACTGAAAATGTCTGGTTGTTATCGGCATTTTGTGTCACTTGCAAACACTTGCAAACACTTGCAAACACTTGCAAACACTTGCAAACACTTGCAAACACTTGCAAACACTTGCAAACACTTGCAAACACAAAAAACACGGCTGCCATTGACTATACTGTATTTATTAATATGTAACTCTCATAAGCAACTCACGATATGTTTAAACTACATCAAAAGACAATATGTCAAGAGATTTGGATATGTGCCAACAATATTACAAGATAGTGCTCAACAGGGGAAGCCCTGAAGATAAAAGGCGGAGAAGGGCTATACAGAAAGAAAAGAAAACAAAATGAAAAGAAGATAAGAAAGGGCACAATGTCAAAACTTCGAGAACCCTTGATTATAAAGTACTAGTTAGTTAGTCAATCAGATTTGCTGTTTCCTTTAGAGGGACTCATGGGAAATAATTTGCAAAACATCTTGCAAATAGGGGATTATAGTTCTGCATATGGTATCAGTTTGAAGGGGTTTTTCGACGTAATTCGACAGATGGAGAAAAACTATATAAAACCCTAGAAGCTTTCGACCCAGTTCGACAGATTGTGAATCCTTTTACTCTGGTAACTTTAGTGGATAAAAGCTTGGAATCAGCGTCGGCGATTGGCACTTGAACAACCCAAGTCCGGTAAAGCTTTAGAATCACAAAACACAAATGGTTTTTCTCCTCTATCTCCCTTGCCTCCTCACCTTCTCCTCCATTTCTTCTTCTTCTATTCTTCTTCTTGTACTTCTTCTTCTTCTTCTTCTTCTTCTTCTTCTCTTCTTCTTCTTCTTCTTCTTCTTCTTTCCTTTTCTTCTTTCTTCTCTTCTTTTCTTCTTCTTCTTATTCTTCTTCTTCTTCTTCTTCTTCTTCTTCTTCTTTTCTTCTTTTCTTCTTCTTCTACTACTACCTTCTTCATCTACTTTTTTTCTTTTCACTTCACTCACCACATTACCTGAACCATCATCACCACCACCACCACTATCACTAAGACTACTAATTCTACTATTATTATATTTCTTCTTCTTCTTTTTCTCTACCTCCACCTCTTCCATCTCATTTTCGTCGCCGTCGTCTTCTCCTGCTTCTTTTTTATTTATTGTTATTATTATTCACATTATTACCATTCTTCTTGTTCTTATTCTTGTTCTTGTTCTTGTTCTTGTTCTTCTTCTTCTTTCTTCTTCTTCTTCTTCTTCTTCTTCTTCTTCTTCTTCTTCTTCTTCTTCTTCTTCTTCTTCTTCTTCTTCTTCTTCTTCTTCTTCTTCTTCTTCTTCTTCTTCTTCTTCGTTGTCCTTAAAAGGACAGTTGACACGTGTGTGAGTGGTAAACAGCTAACCAGGATAGGCCCCCGTAATTCTCATGGAAATAATAACAATTCAAACATCTAGAATCGTCACCAATCAGGTGCCATCTGCGTAATGAAGGTTGGCTGTGATCTATTTTCAAAACGCTTTGTCTCTTGTCTTGGTTGTACCCTCTCACAAAATGATGTTCGTCCATCTCTTCATGTTGTCTTCCCACTTGTAACATTGTCTACCTGTTGCTCTTTTCCCCTCAACCTTTACCTCCAGTATATTTTTTAAACACCTTATGTCTTTCAATATAGTCAAAGTATTCCAACTGCCAAATTTTTATTTCAGTATCTAGAATGGGTCGGCGTCTGTGGCTTAGGCGTTACGAACGCGCTTTGTAATGCCGAGATGCCGGGTTCTATCCCAGCTGCGGACCTTGCGCCTTGCGTTGGTTTCGACAGTGGTATCGAGAAGCCGACCGTCCAGAGGCAATGGCCAACTACTAGACGTAAACTTGCCTACAAAAGCCACAACAGCCAAAAAATGCTGGGGCTGGTTCTGCAACGTCCTGTAAAGGATACGCAACTAACTTGTTATCTAGAATGGAAGGAACAAAGCACTCACCTACAAATCCGATGAGCCACAAAAGGCCAGGCCACCACAGCAAACCTTTCTAATGTTATCAGGACCACGAGATAAATAGTGCACGTCTGCATCAGAAACGGGGTAGGGTACAGGACCCTGGAAAATACAAGAACAATGCTTTTAAATTCAAAACTGCACCGTCGTCATTTCATAACATAACCTTTGATCCGTTAGGCTCATCATCATCAGTTCTCGTTATGCCTAGTGGCACATGAGGCTGCAGAGAGGACTTTCCATGCTTTCCTGTCCTGTGCAATCTTCAGTGCAGTTTTCCATGTCAGAGATGCCGCACTCAGGTCACTTTCCATTGTTCGTCTCCATGTTGTTTTAGGGCGCCCCTGTTTTCTCTTTCCCTCTGGTGTCCATGTGAGAGCTGTTTTGGCAGGTATATCAGAAGTCATTCTCATAACGTGGCCAAGCCATTTCCATCTTCTCTTGGTAATCATACTGTCTAAAGTTCCTTGGTTTGTGACTTGAAGTAGTTTAGTGTTTGAGATTGTATCTGGCCAGAAAATTTTGATAATTCTACGTAGACACCGTTAGGGTCGTGGAGGTGTATCGATGGAAGCACTAACATACAAAACCCGCCATCTTTCTCTGCCTTCCGCTTGTTGAACAAGTGTGTGATAACTTAATCCTCTCCATTTCGTGATGTTGTCATCCCAGATTCTTCTTTGGCCTCCTTTTCTTCAACTACTCCTGCCCCTTCCCCCCCCCCCCCAAGTGTTCCTTCAAGTACAGTCTTTTTAATCGAGTCATTTCTCACCACGTTCCTGAATCAAGCTAGTTTGCGACGTTTCACCACTGCCAAGAGAGGTTCCTCACATCCTGCAAATTTGTTTATTCTACCTTTATTTATTCTTAATTTATCATTGCTTTGATGTGCCGTTATAAGCACAGATATAAAGAAACGGCTATCTTCCGAACAACGGTCACAAATTATAGAGGCTAAGAAAATACCCTAACAGGGCCTCAGTCAAATGTCACGGGCATGCTCCTTTTTTGTGTGTGTGGGGGGGGGGGGGGTAAACGTAAATTAAAGACAATGGAAGCAAACAAACATAGCCGTAACCCCCCCCCCTCCCCCCCCCCCCCCAACGGAACATACCACTATTATTATGAGCTGAAAACGGAACATACCACTATTATTATGAGCTGAAAACGGAACATACCACTATTATTATGAGCTGAAAACGGAACATCCCACTATTATTATGAGCTGAAAACGGAACATACCACTATTATTATGAGCTGAAAACGAGACATGCCGCTAATATTATGAGCTGAAAACGAGACATGCCACTAACAATATGAGCTGAAAACGGAACATACCACTAATATTATGAGCTGAAAACGGAACATCCCACTATCATTATGAGCTGAAAACTAGATTTGCCGCTAATATTATGAGCTGAAAACGAGACATGCCGCTAATATTATGAGCTGAAAACGAGACATGCCGCTAATATTATCAGCTGAAAACGGAACATACCACTATCATTATGAGCTGAAAACGGAACATACCACTAATATTATGAGCTGAAAACTGGACATGCAGCTAATATTATGAAAACGAGACATGCCTCTAATATTATGAGCTGAAAACGAGACAAGCCGCTAATATTATGAGCTGAAAACGAGACATACCACTAATATTATGAGCTGAAAACGAGACATACCTCTAATATTATGAGCTGAAAACGAGACATGCCTCTAATATTATGAGCTGAAAACGAGACATGCCGCTAATATTATGAGCTGAAAACGAGACATACCACTAATATTATGAGCTGAAAACGAGACATACCTCTAATATTATGAGCTGAAAACGAGACATGCCTCTAATATTATGAGCTGAAAACGAGACATGCCGCTAATATTATGAGCTGAAAACGAGACATGCCTCTAATATTATGAGCTGAAAACGAGACATGCCGCTAATATTATGAGCTGAAAACGAGACATACCTCTAATATTATGAGCTGAAAACGAGACATGCCTCTAATATTATGAGCTGAAAACGAAACATGCAGCTAACATTATGAGCTGAAAACGGAACATACCACTATCATTATCAGCTGAAAACGGAACATACCACTATCATTATGAGCTGAAAACGGAACATACCAGTAATATTATGAGCTGAAAACGGAACATCCCACTATCATTATGAGCTGAAAACTAGATTTGCCGCTAATATTACGAGCTGAAAACGAGACATGCCGCTAATATTATGAGCTGAAAACGAGACATGCCACTAACAATATGAGCTGAAAACGGAACATACCACTATCATTATGAGCTGAAAACGGAACATACCACTATCATTATGAGCTGAAAACGGAACATACCACTAACATTATGAGCTGAAAACGGGACATGCTACTAATATTAGGGCTCAAAACTGAGACATACCACTAAGAAAAAGGGGTGAAAACCTGCATGTGCCACTAATATAATGAGCTGAAAACGGGATCCCCCAAGGAAGTGAGTCACCCCCACCCCTCCCCCCTTGCCCCCAAGCCCCCTCTGTTTTCTTGTTCTAGGTCACCAGGGTGCGTGGGCTAATTACTGGCTCGAAAGTGGTATTAAAACCCGACCTACTGCTGGCAAGAAATTAACGAAACAATATGCTATTTAACTGCAGTAAAACGGAACGCGACAGCAAAAATCTCATCAACACGTTTCAAGCACTAATGTATCTAAAGCTGTGACGTATATTTATTCTGACTTATAGCTGGTGTAATCTGAAACAGTAGACGCCTCAGAGCGTTATTAAGTATAGGGCCCCCGACAAGTCTAAATCCGGCTCTGTCTGTAAGGTTATGAGAGCATAAACATAATTTACAAAAATTCAAACGTGACAGTAGAGAAGTGTTAAATGAAATAACTCGCCATCGCTAAATTACAGCAAATTTTCGTTCCGTTGGCCGCCAATTTTTCTGCCTAATAATGTCGTGTCGCTAATCACGTTTCGGGACCTTGATAATTAACTTCATTAAATGAAAACTTTCCATTTACGTGTTAAAATAAATGGTTTGTTTAATTCTGTATAATTTTTAATACGAAAAAAATGTTAATATTAACAAGTGTTATGACCTTTTAGCAAGACAACAAAAACATTATAAAATCACAAATTATGCCTTCGCGCAAATCACGGAAGGAAATAACTTGAAATTTTTCTTAAAGTTTTGTAGATATAATTTTAGAAATTATTTGAGGTTTGAACAACAGATCAACATCATGGCACACGGATAGTAACCCAAAAGTGCTCCGTTCTTCTTCTAACTCAAGTCTGAGTTCGAAGAAGCTTATCACAGTGCACAGGCTCTGTAGCACCGGCGAGGATCCTGAAATAATATGGGTAGATTTTTTAACTCCAAATTTTGCCCAGGCAGCGCCGTTAGGCTACTCTGTTCGATTTACGACTGCCAAGGGATTTTTTTTTACGTGCGCAACAATGCACACGGGCGTCCGATCTTACTACCCAGAGACCAGGGGGAATTACTAGAAGTCTAAGCCCATGTGAAAAAATCGAGGCCCTTACCGGGGATTAAGCCAGGAACCTCTAGCACGCGAGGCGGACACTATGCCTCGAGACCACGCAGCTACAGAATATAACTGTATTAACCTGTAATGTGTCGTTATTTCGAGATGTAACTTTTTAATTTTTAGGAGTTCATTATAGTTTATTGAAAAGTATGATTCCCACATTTACTATTAGGACGTCAACAACAGTTGCCACTTAATATTGTTTACTTTTTAAGGCACACTTGTCCTCTGTAATGTTTAAATAAACATTAATACTAAGACGCTTTTTTTTTAACGTATCCAGAAACCATGAGTTGTAAACCCTTTGGCTCGGTACTATGGATATCGCAAGCCTTCGGCATTGATTCCATTATAGGTACCGTTAATCTGGGAGAAATGTGCTCGTCAGCGTATCAGGGGATCGTGGGTTCAAATCCGTACTCATCCAGATGTTTGTTCAAACATGGCTTGGCTCCCAGGTCAACCAACTTTAAACTGGTATCAGATAAAGTCCTGGGAAATGAAGGCGGTCGTCGTGATGCTGACCAATCACCCACCAAGTGCCGATTTGTCAGTAAAATATAGGTCTAGCCCTATATGTCCAGGAGGCGTGGTTACGTGGAAAAGAATTCTTTACTTTTAGCAAAACAGCTGTTGAAATCAAACATGAAAATACAGAAGTATTAAATGTATTTAAGCTTCTTCTCCTCCTTTTCTTCCATCTTGTACCTCACTGAAGTGTCGGTGGGAGATGTAACATTCGTTGTTGAGTCTGTCAAAAGCACTATTAAACCTGATGTTCATTTCTGTAAGGCTGTTCCTAATGCCATCACTCCGTATTTTCCGAGGTCTTCCACTCGCTCTCTACCTGTTGTAAAGTTTGAGTGTGGCTCGCTGTGGCAGATATACATTGATGGTCTCTACCATGGTCTTAACCTTCTGCTGGCCTCTATTTTCCCTATTTCTAAAACATCTATTTTCATCTTGGGCACTTCTTTTTGCACCGCTGAATCCTCCGCTGACTTGCCGGGCCTGTCGCGAATCCATCTTCAACTGAACACCAACACTAAGCTAATAAATGTAACATACTTTCCAGAAATAAACACATCTTTTTGTCACAATTTTCGGTGAAAGTTGTTTCCCCCGCCATCTTGGCCAGATCCTATACCGCCATTGCTAAATTACAGCAAATTGTTATCCCGTTGGCTGCCATTTTCTCCTTAGTAATGTCGCGTCGCAACATGCAATTTTCTAAACACGTTTTGGGGCTTTGATAATTAACTTCATTACAAGAAATTTTCCATTGACGCGTTGAAATGAATTTAATTATATACAATTTTAACACGATCAAAGGCGAATATAAATAATAACAAGTGTTATCGTCTCTTAACTAGACAGCGAAAAAACTCGCAACTTCTGATTTTCTAAACACGTTTTGGAGACCTTCAAGACGAACTTCATGACAAGAAACTTTCCATTTATGTGTTAAGATAAATTTAATTATGTATAATTTTAACACGAATAAAAGTGAACGCAAAACGGACGGGTGGAAACAGACGGGCTTGCAATATTAACTTTAGTTAGTTAGTTAGTTAGTTAGTTAGTTAGTTAGTTAGTTAGTTAGTTAGTTAGTTAGTTAGTTAGTTAGTTAGTTAGTTAGTTAGTTAGTTAGTTAGTTAGTTAGTTAGTTAGTTAGTTAGTTTAGTTAGTTAGTTAGTTAGTTAGTTAGTTAGTTAGTTAGTTAGTTAGTTAGTTAGTTAGTTAGTTAGTTAGTTAGTTTAGTTAGTTAGTTAGTTAGTTAGTTAGTTAGTTAGTTAGTTAGTTAGTTAGTTAGTTAGTTAGTTAGTTAGTTAGTTAGTTAGTTAGTTAGTTAGTTAGTTAGTTAGTTAGTTAGTTAGTTAGTTAGTTAGTTAGTTTAGTTAGTTAGTTAGTTAGTTAGTTAGTTAGTTGGTTGGTTGGTTGGTTGGTTGGTTGGTTAGTTAGTTAGTTAGTTAGTAGTTAGTTAGTTAGTTAGTTAGTTAGTTAGTTAGTTAGTTAGTTAGTTAGTTAGTTAGTTAGTTTAGTTAGCTAGTTAGCTAGTTAGCTAGTTAGCTAGTTAGTTAGTTAGTTAGTTAGTTAGTTAGTTAGTTAGTTAGTTAGTTAGTTAGTTAGTTAGTTAGTTAGTTAGTTAGTTAGTTGGTTGGTTAGTCAGTCAGTCAGTCAGTCTGTCAGTCGGTCAGTCAGTCAGTTAGTTAGTTAGTCACTTAGTTAGTTGGTTAGTTAGTTAGTTAGTTAGTCAGTCAGTCAGTCAGTCAGTCAGTCAGTCAGTCAGTCAGTCAGTCAGTCAGTCAGTCAGTCAGTCAGTCAGTTAGTTAGTTAGTTAGTTAGTCAGTCAGTCAGTCAGTCAGTTAGTTAGTTAGTTAGTTAGTTAGTTAGTTAGTTAGTTAGTTAGTTAGTTAGTTAGTTAGTTAGTTAGTTAGTTAGTTAGTTAGTTAGTTAGTTAGTTATTTGTTAGATGGTTAGTTAGATAGTTAGTTAGATAGTTAGTTAGTTAGATAGTTAGTTAGTTAGTTAGTCAGTCAGTCAGTCAGTCAGTCAGTCAGTCAGTCAGTCAGTCAGTCAGTCAGTCAGTCAGTCAGTCAGTCAGTCAGTCAGTCAGTCAGTCAGTCAGTCAGTCAGTCAGACAGTCAGTCAGTCAGTCAGTCAGTTAGTTCGTTAGTTATTTGTTAGATAGTTAGTTAGTTAGTTAGTTAGATAGTTAGTTAGTTAGTTAGTTAGTTAGTTAGTTAGTTAGTTAGTTAGTTAGTTAGTTAGTTAGTTAGTTAGTTAGTTAGTTAGTTAGTTAGTTAGTTAGTTAGTTAGTTAGTTAGTTAGTTAGTTAGTTAGTTAGTTAGTTAGTTAGTTGGTTGGTTGGTTGGTTGGTTGGCTGGCTGGCTGGCTGGCTGGCTGGCTGGCTGGCTGGTTGGTTGGTTGGTTGTTTGGTTGGTTGGCTAGTCGACAAATTATCTTCATTGCACATCCTACAAGTCCATTAAGCGCTGGGATCCCATCTCCACTATATCCCTCAGCGCGTGACGACTGATCCACTCTCCACTATATCCCTCAGCGTGTGACGACTGATCCCACCTCCACTATATCCCTCAGCGTGTGACGACTGATCCCATCTCCACTATATCCCTCAGCGTGTGACGACTGATCCACTCTCCACTATATCCCTCAGCGTGTGACGGCTGATCCCATCTCCACTATATCCCTCAGCGCGTGACGGCTGATCCCATCTCCACTATATCCCTCAGCGCGTGACGGCTGATCCACTCTCCACTATATCCCTCAGCGTGTGACGACTGATCCACTCTCCAGTATATCCCTCAGCGCATGACGACTGATCCACTCTCCACTATATCCCTCAGCGTGTGACGACTGATCCACTCTCCACTATATCCCTCAGCGTGTGACGACTAATCCCCCCTCCACTATATCCCTCAGCGTGTGACGACTGATCCACTCTCCACTATATCCCTCAGCGTGTGACGGCTGATCCCATCTCCACTATATCCCACAGCGTGTGACGACTGATCCACTCTCCAGTATATCCCTCAGCGTGTGACGGCTGATCCCATCTCCACTATATCCCTCAGCGCGTGACGGCTGATCCCATCTCCACTATATCCCTCAGCGCGTGACGGCTGATCCACTCTCCACTATATCCCTCAGCGTGTGACGACTGATCCACTCTCCACTATATCCCTCAGCGTGTGACGACTGATCCACTCTCCACTATATCCCTCAGCGTGTGACGACTGATCCACTCTCCACTATATCCCTCAGCGTGACACGACTGATCCACTCTCCATTATATCCCTCAGCGTGTGACGACTGATCCACTCTCCACTATATTCCTCAGCGTGTGACGACTGATCTACTCTCTACTATATCCCTCAGCGTGTGACGACTGATCCACTCTCCACTATATCCCTCAGCGTGACACGACTGATCCCATCTCCACTATATCCCTCAGCGCGTGACGACTGATCCACTCTCCACTATATCCCTCAGCGTGTGACGACTGATCCACTCTCCACTATATTCCTCAGCGTGTGACGACTGATCCACTCTCCACTATATTCCTCAGCGTGTGACGACTGATAACACCACTTTTGTCTTGGTTTACTAATTTGCTTTAGCTACAAGGGGCGGTGTGGTCTCGAGACATGGTGTCTGCCTCGAGTGCTAGAGGTTCCGGGTTCAATCCTCCGTAAGGGCTGGAATTTTTTTCACGTGGACTTGGACTTGTCGTAATTCCCACTGGTCTCTGGGTAGTGAGATCGGACGCCCGTATGTATTGTTGCGCACGTAAAAAATCCCCTGGCAGTTGGAAATCGAAAAAAGTAGCCTAACGGTGCTGCCTGTGGAAAGTTTAGAGTTAAAAAATAACCCAAAGTATTTCAGGCTCCTCGCGGTGCTACAGAGACTGTTCACTGTGCTGATCTTCTTCGGACTCAGACTTGTGTTAGAAGTAGAACGGAGCACTTATGGGTAACTACCCGTGTGCCATGATGTTGATCCGTTTTTCAAAACCGCAAAACCATATTCTTAGCAAGACAACAACAAAAAACCTTTATCACAAATTACTTCCCCTTTGCAATACAGGGAAAGCAATTACTAAAAATTCAGTGACCTTTGTAGATTAAACGCAATATCGAAATAACTGGAGAATTTAACTTTTTTTTTTAGCCTGTAATGTGTCGCTATTTTGGGACTCAACTTTTCAAATATTTGAGTTGCTTTGACATCATCAAAAAGTGCGATTCCTAAATTAACTGTAAACAAGACATCAACAAAAGTTGCTACTTCTCTACAGCTTTTGCTTCCTTGTTTTCTTCTTCTCTGGAAGAGTAAAAAATGGCAATATCTTGTGATCTCTTTATGCATAATAAAAATCAAGTAATCTCCTTATGAGATAAAATTTTTCGTTATTTGAAACCCTACCCTAGCTCTTGCCAGGGGCCGCAATATAGCCCAGCCATAAATATGGCCTAATGGCTGAACGCGGTTTTTCGGGACCTCTCCACAGGTTATCCTCATTCACATGGTGGCACTTTGTGTCATCGGGTGTTTATCGCTTGTGTGATGTCCTGGTGGGGTACAACTACTACTAATACTAATATCCCCGATTGTCCCCATGTGGGATGCAATTCTTAGTTCTTCTTCTTCTTCTCCTCCTCCTTCTTTTTTTTCTTAGTATTATTATCCTTTTATACTATAAAAATGACCCATCACCTCCCTCCCCCATTGTTTCTCTAGTTCGCACAGAACAGGCATGTCAAACATGCAGCTAGCGGGTCATATGCGGCCCTTTGTGTGTACGACTGCGGCCCGCATGAAAATTATGCTGCAATAATTCTTTTTTTATTAAAGGAATCCAATCAGTTGTCTAGTATGGCCCTCATAACAACATAAATTTGACCCCTATGACCCTTGGGAGGACTCTCAGTTTGAAATACCTGACGTAGAACACAAGCATTTGACTTCTGGTCTAAAATGGAGGACAACGCATGGATAAGGTTTCCCTGCCTGTGCCTTTCATGTGTGCAGCGTTTTAAGTCGTGGTATGGCCGGTAGTCGGTAGTCGGCTGGCGAAATACTTTTAAAAAAAAAACAATTTTGCTTGAATATGATCAACTTATTGTGACAGAGTATATCTCATCAACTACAAACTACATTTCTGGTGGCGATTTTTGGCTTTGGCATTTCTAGCAACTGACATATGTTTTTACTGCGTGTGCATATCACGGTTTGGGACATTTCATTTAATTTTAACTGGTAAGTGAACGGAGAAAGTAGGGGGTAACCCGATTGCAGTAAACTTTGAGGTTGGAAGTTTGAGGTTTAAATAACGGATCAACAGCATGACACACAGGTAATAAAACCCACAAGTGCTCCGTTCTTTTTCTGACTCAAATCTGATTCCCAAGAAGCTCAGCACAGTTCACAAGCTGTGTAGCACCGGCGAGGATCCTGAAATACTTTGGGTAGATTTTGAACTCAAAATTGTGCCCGGGCAGCGCCGTTAGGCTACTCTTTTTCCAACTGGCAACATATTTTTTTTTTACGTGCGCAACAATGCACGCTGGCGTCCGATCTCACTACCCAGAGACCAGGGGGAATACTAGAAGTCCAAGTCCTCGTGAAAAAATCCCAGCCCTTACCGGGGCTTGAACCCAGAACCTCTAGCACTCGAGCCGGGCACCATGCCTCGAGACCACGCAGCCCTTTGCAGTGAAGTTTAAACCTCGACTAAAACTAAGACTAAATCAAAGAACATAAACAACAACACATCACCAAGAAAGATAACTCACTCGTAAATCGGCAGTGTGAATTCCCGGTAGCTGGCATTGAACAGTTGTCCCCCCTCCATGATGGCGAGGTTTTCCAGAAACAACATGGAGAGCAGGTAGAGGGAATCAAAGACGGACAGGCAGATCAGCAAAAACGGAGCGGACGAGCGGCTTCTGTAGGTGAATAGAACACAGGGTCTCGACTTACGACCGAGTTTCGTTCCGACTAACAGGTCGTAAGTCGAACTGGTCGTAAGTCGAGATTATTTTTTTCAACACTATTTTCATTCAAACAGTAACATTTTTTAACATAACCCCCCCCCCCCCCTTCCCTTCCCCCCATATGATGTATGTTTTGTATCAGTTGCGAGGCGTGATCGAATCGCAGCTTTGGTGATCGTTAGCTGTTAATGATTATTGCACTGGAATGGGTATCATGTGATATTTTCCTCCTTGTCGCTTCGCTGTTAAGAGTATGTGTGCGCAGCTAGCATTTTGGTACTAGTAACCAATATCTTTCCCACGTTACAGCTTTTGCATAAGTGGTTTAAGCACGTGCAGCAAAATCGGCAGTGTGAATTTATATATATATATAGCTGGCATATGTTTAGATATTGTATATATCCCGGATGGCGTATTTGTACTCAATAGAAAACTTAAAATAATGAAGAGTAAAAGGTAATTTTTCTTGGAAACACTCTGGTACTGGAATCACAGACGGACATCACACAGATCAGCAAAAACCCGGGAGCGTGCCACGAGCGTATTAGGATCTCCCGTGTAGGTCTCGGAAACACCGTTAGCCCATACTTAAGGCCCGTCTATATTTAGGGTTCCCAGCAAAAGTCAGGTGCTTTAAAATGACTAAAAAAATGGCATCGTAAGTCGGATGGTCGGTTAATCACTGTTACGTATTTATTATTGTTCAAAAAAGTTTCATTCAAAAGTAACATATTTGTAGACACACACACACACACACACCCACACACACAAAAACTCACCTCTCCTTGGAATACTAATTTTAGTTTTTTTTATCATGTGTCGTCAGTGCGTTTTTCGAATCACAGGGGGGGTGATCGAGGCTTTGATGATTCCAGTCCTCTGTCAGTCAGGGACTATCGGTGATATTTTCCAATCCTGGTTACCCTGGAGGTCTAGTTCCTTGGTTCTAAGCCTCCCATGTGCCATGTGCAGTCTCCCTTTCTGGTACATGTCCAAACCATAACTGTTTCCCACGTTACAGCTTTTGCAGGCCTGGTTTAAGATCCACGTCTGCAGCAACTTCGGGTTATGGTTTTTTTTTTTTTTTTTAAAATACCTGTTGAGACTATAGATTTATTATTATCTATAAACCGGATGGCGTATTTGTACTTAATAGAAAACTTAAATAATGAACAGTAAAATAATTAATTTTTCTCTGGCACTGGACTGTGTAAGAGGCGATTACATTCGTTATATGCACGCTTCGCCACTGCTACTTATGTAAGTAGTAAGTAAATTGTACCCCACCAGGACATCACACAGAGCGATAAACACCCGGTGACACAAAGTGCCACCGTGCGTATTAGGATCTCCCGTGGAGGTCTCGGAAACCCCGTTAGCCCATACTTAAGGCCCGTCTATATTTAGGGCTCCCAGCAAAAGTCAGGATGGGGCTTCAAAATAACTAAAAAATGGCATCCCACATCGGGATGATAAGACGGTTAATCACTGTTACGTATTATTATTGTTCAAAAAAGTGAGAGAAAAAAATAATACTGTATGTACTGTAGACACAACACACACACACACACACACACACACACACACACACAACTTGGAATTACTAATTTTAGTTTTTTATATTATGTGTCGTTAGTGTTTTTTTTTTTTTTTGGGGGGGGGGGGTGATGCTGGGAGGAGGGGTTGTTCCATTCCAGTCCTCTGTCAGTCAGGGACTGTCGGTTGTTGTCTTCCCAATGGACCCTGGGTCACCCTGGAGGTCTAGTTCCTTGGTTCTTAGCCTCCCATGCCTGCCATGGTGGCTGATTTTCTCCCTTTCTGCATACATGTCCAAACCATCGTAACTGTGACTGATCCACTCGAGTTTGTAAGGCCTGGCTTTCAAGATCCTGACTGCGAACTTCGGGTTATGGTTTCAATATATTTTTAGTGGTTAAGCCAGAAAACCTGTTGAGACTATAAATTTATTTATCCTAGGCTACAATTCACTGAAATTGTCTGGTTTCATGTAGCCTAAACTCCCCGTGTGGGTTCCGAAGTCCTGTTATAGGGAAAAGAATAAGCCAGCTGCCTACCCAAAAGCATGTCGTACGAGTCTACTAATTGGGAGCTTTCTTTAAAAGTCGGAGTGCATATGCCTGAGAGGCTAGGAACCATTAGTCTGCATACAAATTAGTCAGATCTGTCAAACGGATGCACATGCAACACTCAAGTTCTGGAACAGGACTGCAGTCCAGAAATGGACGAACAACCAGAACTTTTCGCCAGAGTTTACAGCTGGTGAACGCGGGGAAGAAGAAGCTGTAGCCTACACTGTGTTCTGTATTGCTATTGTGTAATGTTGGGGAGATGTACAAGAACTGAAGGTAAAAAACGGTGTCGCCAAACATGAACACTATACAGGTAGCCAACGATGAATACTAAACTAAACACAGAACTGGTGTTATCAGTCGCCACACACTGAGGGATATACTGAAGATGGGATACGAGTGCTTGTGAACCTGTCCTTTGTGCAGTGAGAATAATCTGTCTAATAACTAACTAGTTGTTATCTATTTCTACTGCTTTTTCTTCTCCTTCTTCTTCTTCTTCTTCTTCTTCTTCTTCTTCTTCTTCTTCTTCTTCTTCTTCTTCTTCTTCTTTTCTTCTTCTTCTTCTTCTTCTTCTTCTTCTTCTTCTTCTTCTTCTTCTTCTTATTCTTATTCTTCTTCTTTTTCTTCTTATTCTTCTCAATTTTCTTCTTCTGCTTCTTCTTCTTCTTCTTCTTCTTTTTCTTCTTCTTCTTCTTCTTCTTCTTCTTCTTCTTCTTCTTCTTCTTCTTCTTCTTCTTCTTCTTCTTCTTCTTCTTCTTCTTCTTCTTCTTCTGTTTCTTCTTCTTCGTCCTATTTTTCTTCTTCCTCTTCCTCTTCTTCCTCTTCTTCTTCTTCTTCTTCTTCTTCTTCTTCTTCTTCTTCTTCTTCTTCTTCTTCTTCTTCTTCTTCTTCTTCTTCTTCTTCTTCTTCTGTTGTCATCTCACTCATACCAGGTTGTTGCCAAGTGTCGTGGTTTTCTGTATTTGTCTTTCGATTCTCGGATGGCTTGGGTGATGGATGTATTTATCTTTTCGACTAACCCACTTATTCTTCCAGATCTGCCGTGGTGTAGCGGCTAGACGCAACCTGCGGATCAGAAGGATGTGTGTTCGATTCCTGGCCTAGCCGGACTTTTTTTCAAAAATGACCTTGTCTTCTAGGTCGACCCAGCCTTGAGTGGGTACCAGGTTGGTCTATAAAATATAGATCAAGCCCTATATACCCAATACGCCTGAAAGGCGTGGAAAAGGGTCCCTCACTTACTTATCCTTCTATTTCTTTGTTTTTTCCCCTGTCTTCCTCCCAGATATTCTGGTGTGAAACTTGCAGTGTGGTCTGAGAAACAGAGAGAAAAAAACTTACCTGAAATTCGCGAGGACAATGATGGCTATGATGTTGCAAATGACACCAACACACTCAATACAGGCTCCGCCCACCGCAAATAGTCCCACCCTCCATTGCCATATATATCTTCTAGGGGCGTGGTTTTCATCAGTCGACGCCATGTTATACACATCCGTTGTATGCATACTTGAAATTGTTTCACTTATCACCGTCATGTTATATAAATCCGTTGTATTCATGGCTGTAATTGGTCACTAAGACAGCAAATCGTTTAGTCGTTTACTGTAGAATGTAGGAAGTAGCTATTGTCCAATCGATGGAAAGAATTAATGAAGAATCGTTTTGCCTTATTATGCTGATGAAGATTTTTGTCGAAACGTTCGTTTTTTATTGGTGTGTTTCTCTTTTTAAGTAGAGCATCTTCGTAGCATGTAATTTTCTTGTCTGAAGATTATTCAAATATAATGATAACTTCAGAACAAAGTGTTTATGTGGATTATAAATTGAACGGAAACAAGTTAGTCGTTAAATAAACGCTGCCTGAACATGGTCGTCCAGACAGAGAAAACATGTGGGAGTGGGGATGTGGGTCACGGCTCCCTTACACATTTTCTAGAGGCCTCATATGAGAGCATAAGCGTTGTTTAAGTGCGTATTATTATTATTATTATGTTTGAAAAATGGAGACAAAGAATACCTAGAGGGGCGGACTTGTTTTCTCTTCAAAAATGACATTGGTTCTCAGGTCGACGCAGCCAAGACCAGATCCAGCTGTCAGGTCATGCGGCTGACGTCAACAAACCGGGCTAACGATACGTTAACGCAGCGCTTCTCAAACTGGGTGCCGCGAGCGTATGTCAGGGATGCCGCGACAATAATCAAAAATTTTCCAAATCTGCTTGACATTAAATTTGCAGTTGTTATTTTTTTCCCCTTAAGTATTTAAACTACCCTAATGATAGATGTGCCGTAATTTAACGTTAACGTTAATTTGCTTTAACGTTTTGTTAGCCCGGTTCGGTGACGTCAGCAGCATGGCCCGTCAGCTGACCAGCCTTAAATAGGTAACCACGTAAATTTCCTAGGAGCAGGCGGCATATGAGGGGTTAGGCGTTGTTTAAGTGTAATAATAATAATAATAATAATAATAATAATAATAATAATAATAATAATAATAATAATATGGTAAATGGCGTCCCAAAAATGATGTATTTGAAATAATATGAACTGTATAATTCTCAAAAACTGTCAATACATAGTTATTGGGCGAGGGTTCTTAGACTCCCATTATCATGTCTATATCAACGCAAGGCAATCTGCTTTCAAATCGCCTGCAGTTGTGATCTAAGCCCCAAACGCCGTCTTGCTGGGGATAGGTAGCAGTATAGATATATAGGGGGCTGTGTGGTCTCGAGGCGGGGCGTCTACCTCCAGTGCTGGAGGTCCCGGGTGCAGGCCCCGGCGAAGGCTGATATTTTTTCACATGTATTTCTAGTAATTTCCCTTGGTCACTGTGTAAGGTCGGACGCCCATGTGTATTGTTAAGCACGTAAAAATCCATTGGCGGTTGGAAATCGAAAAGAGTAGCATAAAGGCGCTGCCCGGGCAAAATTTAGAGTTAAAAATCTACCCTAAGTATTTCTGGATCCTCGCCGGTGCTACGGAGCTCGTGCACTACGCTGTGATTCAGGATTGAGCAAGAAGTAGAACGGAGCACTTATGGGTTACCCCTTGTGCCATGATGTTGATCTGTCGTCTAAATCTAAACCTAATTGTATAAAAACTACACGGAAGGATTAAACAGTTCATTACAAGACACAAAAAAAAGCTTTTTATATAAGGAATTGAAATCACAAATAATGAGAAAGAGAAAACTGGAGTACATCGTGACAGTAGGATAGTTGGAGGTGAGGAGAGGCAGAGGGAGGTCAAGAGAAAAGATGCTGGACAGTTTGACATTACGACATGGAGGATTATCTGTGTCAGAGCTAACTGAAAGTAAACGAGACAGAAGGTTGTGGATAGACGTGACTACCAGCGCCACACGGCATGAACTGTGGAAGATCATCTGTGTCAGAGTTGACTGGACAGAAGGTTGTGGATAGACGTGACTACCAATGCCACACGGCATGAACTGTGGAAGATCATCTGTGTCAGAGTTGACTGGACAGAAGGTTGTGGATAGACGTGACTACCAATGCCACACGGCATGGACTATGGAAGATCATCTGTGTCAGAGTTGACTGAAAAGTACACGAGACAGAAGGTTATGGATAGACGTGACTACCAGCGTCACACGGCATGGACTATGGAAGATCATCTGTGTCAGAGTTGACTGAAAAGTACACGAGACAGAAGGTTGTGGATAGACGTGACTACCAATGCCACACGGCATGAACTGTGGAAGATCATCTGTGTCAGAGTTGACTGGACAGAAGGTTGTGGATAGACGTGACTACCAATGCCACACGGCATGGACTATGGAAGATCATCTGTGTCAGAGTTGACTGAAAAGTACACGAGACAGAAGGTTGTGGATAGACATAACTACCAACGCCACATATTACTATTTATTTCTTAAAGTAAAAATTCTCGACAATAACTGGCCCACTATTTTTTTGAGGTTCGCCCTTACTGGGCGATTAACACCCTCTCTGTTTGTTTACCGCTAGACTGCGATATCTGCGACTTTTACATCCGATTTCAGCAAACTTCTTAATATTCGCCTCTTATGACATGCTAGTTAGAGGGCATCGGGTCTGTTTCTCTCGCCCCCCCCCCCCCCCACCCCCTCCAAATGAGGCCACTGAACCTACACGGGGAAAGTAATATCTGACTGTTACATAAATGTGTTTTTTAATGAGATGGAAGAGACTTAGAAAGTAAATGCGGTTGGCATTATGTTGACCATATCACGCATCGAATACCAATTATTCCATAAAACATGGGTTTTAGCTTTAAATGCCTTATGCGCCAAGGACGCCACGGGGGTCCTTCACCTTTTACTGAACATATTGTAACATAAATAATTTAGCGACTGCTGGCAAAAGATTGAAAAATAAGGACAAGAGAAGGGCAGAGATAATTACCTGTATGGCGGTCTGGGGCGGGACAAAAGCACTGACCTGATTTGTAATTCTTGTGATCATATAGGATGACGAATCAAGACCACCTACGCTTATCGGCAGCACACGTTATGATGATGATGATGAAAGATAATACCGCGTTATTCACAACAAAAAGCAAGTTTTAACTGTCTTACAATCTGTACTTAACAATACCGATTTCAACCGTTCCACAGTCGAAACTTAAAAAAAAAAACATATAACAATAAAAATTTTACTGCTCCACAATCTGGACTTGGGGAAGAAAAACAACAACAACTGAGTCACCAGAAATTGTACTCACACACAAATAATCTGCTGTTTATATGGTCGCCGAGTCTGTTCACACAACTTGTTTGCTGATCTGCGGCGGGTTGGTAAATAAGGTCATACGAGCACGTGACGTTGTGGCGGGACCTGGGATTTGGTGTCCAACAGACACCTCACCCCGTCTTCAATATCGGTGTTATTCTTGTTGGCCGGTGTAATGATAAAACAGTACCACGGTTTCATGCATTTATTCAATCAGTGAGGGTCATCTGGTCAGAATGACATTGATACATAGGCGACCGGGTCGCTCATTGGCTTGCCGGTAGACGGCTTCGTCGCTGGTCGGGGACACTTTTGGGCCTGTGTGGTTTGTGTCCGCGTCTGTGGCTAAGGCGTTGCAATCGCGCTTCGTAGTGTCGGGTTCAATCCAAGCTGTGGACAATGTGTCTTGCGTTAGTTTCGACAGTGGTAACGAAAGCTGACCTTTCAAAAAGCAAGGGCAAACTACTAAACGTAAAATGGGCCTATAAAAACCGCAGAAGCCAACAAATGCTGGTTATGCAAAATCCTGTGAGGCAAATAACTTTACTCCTTCGATCGCATCAACGTTGCAGGAGTCCTTTTCCTTTGCTGGCGTGCAGTGCTAAGCCTTTTTGGCTCTACTTGGAATAACTGTTCTAAATGAACTACGCAGAAAGTTAATCCCAAACAGAGCCTCATTACGCCCTGCCCTACAAACATTTAAAAGCTGTAACTCGGAAATATGAGGAACGGAAAGTATGAGGAAAATAAGGGAATTATAGTACTTACCTATATTGAAATCATTTATAGGTTAAAATTGTGTCAGAGAAGTTGCAAATGGGTCAGTAACGTGCAACATGTGAACTTCTTCTTTCGCCGACTATACTGCCACCTCCGAGAGTATCCCCCGCGCCGCTACGCGCGGAAGGAAGGAACTAAACTAGATGGCTAGGACTCACGAGCAAATACATTGGAGGAAGCTGCAGGAGCTGCGGTAGCTGCATCTCGTGAGTCCCAGCCATCTAGTTTAGCCCTCTCCGCGCCGCGCGTAGCGGCGCGGGGGATACTCTCGGAGGTGGCACTATAGTCTGCGAAAAGCGATCGGCAACTTACATATAACTCGGGCCCTGTCGTAGGATAGCGCTATCGGGAGTATTGTCGCGTGAAGGTAATTTTTTTCGTATGCAGTTAATCCTTGTTTTGCCGCCATCTAATCGCCGTAAAAAATCCGTTTCGTTCCGCGAAACTGTCGTGCGCAGTTAATACTACTTTTGACACGGTTGAATCGCCGCAAAAGAAATGCGACTTTTACATATGTCTGAGGCTCTGTTTGGGTTAACTGTCTGCGTTGTGAGGCTCTGTTTAGGTTAATTTTCTGCGTAGTTCATTTAGAACCGTTATTCCAAGTAGAGCTGCCTTTTTATATGACCACATAAACTAGTCACAATTATAACCTAACGTTCCCCATTCGGGGATGTTAGTTGAATGTGACGATTTTTTTCTTCTAGCAAAGCACCCAACTACCTATGACACTGAAATCATTACTGGCTGTAAAGCAGAATTGCAAGAACTTACTTCAAAGCTACAGACAGTCCCCGGTAAATATGGCTTGGTCATTACTGCCGATAGACAGAACTATAAAAATTAGATTTCTAAGAGCATGCATTACCAAGAGGAGACACCAGATAAGAAGAGGAGAGAAAAGAACAGCTAACAACTTTGGAGGACGAGCTGTCGAAACTGGATGGAAGCATAAAGCCCAGAAATGACGCAATACTAGAATTTAGTCACGAAAGTGACGCAAATAACCCAGACCACAAAGATAGGTGGAGACTGTTAGCAGC